GGGGGGGGTACAATACAGATGGTCCTTGCGACTTGTTTCGGCCTCGCGTCGCCTCGCGTCTTTTTCTTGTGGGGCCGGGAACGCTTTATTTTGTCGGGTTTGGGGTTTGTTTTGTCGTGTGGCTCGACTTGACCACCCCGCGAAGAAGCTGCTGTTGTTGGGGTTCTTGTTTATTTTATTTTTATTTTCGTTGGTATTGTTTTTCGATTACTTTGGGAATAAGCAAAAGGAGAAAGCCAAGGGTCTGTCTGATGTAGAGAGGCAAAAGGTCTGCGTGTGTCTGCAGCATGTAGATCGCCTCCTCGGCGATAAAACAAGTTCGTTTGGGCGTCCGGTTGGTTAGCTTGCTATTTGTTGTGATATACCGTTTGATAATCCGGCCCCGCCATCTGTGTGCATTGGTTGCTATTTGTTTGTGCCTCTGTGTCCACATCTCACGTGTGCGTTTTTTGCGCTTGGGTGTCTTCGTTCCGTGCCGCCGTTTTGTGCTTTCTTTTTTTTCGTCTCGCTTCTGCAGTCAACTCTTATTTTGGGCAACCCTGGCCTCTTCTTACTTTGGATCAGTGAGGCAACGAACCAACAAGGATATTTAGGTGTGGTTGGGTTCTTCAATTTGATATTTTTCGTGCAAATTGCACCCTCAAATTTCTTAAACAAGCAATGGTTTCTTGAGTGGTGGCGCGATCTGTAGTCAGTCACGTAATGTTTTTGCACTTTTTTTTTTTTGCAAACCGTAGCCGTACTGTCAGCTGGGAAGTGGATCTGGACTCTCGTTCAAGTTGGAAGGTAGTTGCTTCGTATGCCACAAAGAAAGGCAGTGAAATTTTGGTCTGTCAAGACGGCTTGGACAGAAAAGTCAGATTTCTTGTTTGCGTTGGATGGAAGCAGCGGCGATTTTGGTGTCAACACGCAGCTTGTACGTTAAAGGCGAGAGCGCCCCCCATTCTCTCCGAATTGCATGGGTTGTAATCTTGTATGGCTTCTGGTTCAGACTGGGCTGTGTGGATGTTGGTCTCAACCATGCGGGGTTGCACCCGCAATTTAGAGCACTGACCTGTATTCTCCGTTGTACTTTTTTGTTTTTGTAGACTGACTGGTGGTTTCTTCCGTGGCATTTCCGCAAAGAGTCAATGACAAACAATTTCACACTGACGGGAGTACACTCTTTCTTGTTGAGTCGAGGGGCGAAAAAAAACGAGAATGGCGTTTTTGCCGAAACCTCTTCCTTCATCGATAAACGACGGGTGCAGGTTGTTGCTGCTTTCCTTGTTCTCGCCTTGATAATGCTCCTATCTTCTTGCTCTTCTCCCATCGCCTTGCATGTACACCACACAGCCGGGACCCACACAAACCAGACCCAAAGGATACCATTCTGAACAGGAAGGCACTTGAATCGGAACAACACGTGAATCTTGCTACGGCGTCAAAACACAACTTCTGCTACATCGCGCCAGATAAACATGGTAACGCACCACACCATAACATGGCTACCTCCAAATGCCATAAAGAACACGGGTCCGCAGCCGAGAACTTATTTCGTTGGGGAAGAGAGGCTCAAATATTGTCGAATTTTTCACGAAAATTTAGAAAAATAGGTTCAAGGTACTAGCTCAGCAGGCGGTGGATCCTACACTACACTCTAAACAACAACATGCTCGACAGCAGTGGCGACGAAATACAATGTAACAACCTGAGCCTCGACGCGATGTTTCGTATCTACGGGCCTGTTCTGTAACACGAGTCACAGCTGCCTCGACGGCCACGGACGCAATAGGGCCAATCGAGAAGTGGTCCAAATTGCAGCCAAAAGATGGACACAGGGTGAGGGCGAGAAGAAACACGAAACCCCGAGCTCTCCGGGAAAAACGCAACACTGACCCGGAATACCAATACCCGAAGACATACGAACAAACAAGAACGTCCACATTCAACATGGACATATAGTAGTGTGGTCCACAGCACCTAGACAAAAAGATGGATATTTAGACAGATCCAACACAAAATAAATGTGGTCATCCACCAAACAAGCGAGACGGCGATGCATCTTCAGATAAACACATGTAACCGACTCAACCAAACGTATATACAGAGCGAAACTTATCCGTGCTGCAGCCACCCTGCGCTCATCCATTGGGACCTAGAGCAAGGCAAAACCGAAAATTACAGCAGTATCGACAAGATTATTGTTCGTCTCACCCCCCGAAACTATTATCGCGTTCAATCTGGACAGGCACCATGACAAAGGTTTGGACACCTCTGGCAAAGAACCAACCAAAATCTGCCTCCCCAGTCTTTTTTTTTTTTTTTGTCTTCACTTCAAATAAGCGCTCACAGCACTAGTGCCGTTTACTCCAACCCGTGGTCACACAGAAGAGCCCCTCTCGACCCTCCCCTCCTGCGGTACTTTGCCTTCGATTTTTAATGCGAGAAGAGTTCAGGACTCTCTTCCCTCTGTGTACACACGAACTAGCGCTATCCACTAGACCAGGAGCGCAAGCGAGAGAAAAACTCACTTTGCAAGAAAAGCTCGCTTACGCCGGGATTCGAACCCCTGACCTGACCTCTAGAAGGTTTCGCGGATACCAACTAGACCACCGAGGCGAGTCTTGGGGGAAGTCGAAAAGGAAAAGGAGAGAACATACATACATTAATTACTCATTCGTCCGTTCCTTCTTGAGAACAGAAACAACAACCTCTATCTTTCCACCGAATTGTTTCCAAACGTTGCCAGTACCGAGTGAAAGACATACATGTACCGAAGTGCAATCACAAACAACAACGGTCGACACACATACATATCATGTGTCGCGAAGCTCAATGTAAAGACTACAGCTGAGGCCACCTGGAATTGCCTCGACGCGAAAGAATCCTGCTGCGTGCAACTCCCAGTGGGGCGTACTACGAGAAGAAGCGCTTATAACAACAACATAGATAGGGGAGGATTATACACTGAGAAAAATGATGCGCACGCCAAACGTAATTTTGTGGCACCACCAACCGCTTGTATTATTATTTCAGTCGCGTCTTGATCTGTAACTCGAGCTCCACGGGAGGGCTCCTCGAGGCCGCGGCCCGCTTCAGCGCCAACAGCTCCACGTCGCTGTCGCGGTAGTACGGCGCCGTCGCCCTTACGAGCAGCCTCTCCAGGCGTGGCACGTGCCCCCCCACCAGGGCGCCCACCAGGACCCTCAGCTGGTGGTGAGGCGTGCGGCTGCAGTCCATGCGCAGCTCCCGCAAGCGAGGGCAGACCCACAACGCCTCCTCCAGGTATCCGATGCTATGCTCCGGGCAGAAACGGTTTCCCGTGAAGCTGAGGCGTTCCACGAGGGGGCACTTCCCCCAGGACAGCGCGCCGAGGATGACGTCATCGACCGAGGCGTCCCTGACGCTTGACTGGTCGTCCCACCCCAGCACGCGCAGCCTCGGGGCCAGCCCAGAGCGGAGCCCGCGCGCCAGGTCGCGGAAGTGGCCCGCGTTCGCCCGGCAGTGAGAGAAGGTGAGCACTTCTAGGGCCGGCCACAGACCGGCCGCCACCGCCCTACCGGCCTTTGCGACGCCCGTGGCGCCGTCGACCAGGTGCACCCGGGAGAGCCGTGGGGCCACGCGGTGGCGCTTTGCGGAGAGGGGCACGAGCTCCCCGAGGATGGCGCCTACCCTGGAACGAACGCACACAACATGTAGGAGCACACGTAGTATGTGCGAAGGCACGAGCATACGCGAACAGAGAATGAGGTGATGGACGGAGCAGGGTGAACGAAAGAGAGAGAAAACGTGAATTTGAGCGACAACTTTTGGGTGCAACATATGAATGCGCCACCAACAAACGCGAAAAGAGAAATAGAGGGGTGCACGAGAGAGAGAGAGAGAGAGAGAGAGAGAGAGAGAGAGAGAGAGAGAGAGAGAGAGAGAGAGAGAGAGAGAGAGAGAGAGAGAGAAGAAATCTGAGCGACACTTTTTTTGCTTGGTTGTGTGCGCCTTGGGCGTACCTGGCGCGTCCGTTCCATGTAGGGCACCCGCGGATGGTAATCTCGCGCAGGGTAGGAATTGAATGCCGCACAACCCTCCCGACGGCCTGTTCCAGAGCTTTGTACCGGGCCTGCAAAGAAAAAGTGGCGTGTTTGTGGGGAGTTTGTGGAGAGTGAGGGTTTGGGTCCTCTAAGTGGGGGTGTGGTAAGTTTGAGACATCGCCGCCGCTGGGTTTGGTTGGGAGCGTTGTGGTTGCTATGTACCACTGCATGTAGCCAAAGCGGCTGCTTAATAAAACTACCAACGACGTGTAAAGAGCGCTGTCAGTGCCTCTTCTTGTGCAACACAAGAGGTGGATGGATGTCGATGTGACAACGTCCAATAAAAAGTCATCACCAACGACTTGTACACCTAAGCGGGAGACAATGCATACAACAAGTATGTCTCAAAAGTGGCTTTTACTATGCATACGTGGACACTTCGCGGGCTTGAAGTCAGGCTGTTTCATGGGACCAACAGAGTCCCCGCCCAGCCGCCAGCGGAGTAATGCTACTGGCTCCGCGACCTACAAACCTTTCTCGAATAGTAAGTAAGCTGCGAAGCACATTGTAAAATTGTAAATTGTGCCTACCACACAGATTCCGCTGCCCTCGATACTTCGAAGGGAAGGTGGCTTTGTTTACTGATGTTCAAGACATGGTATATGCCCCACGAGCCAATTTCACAGGAGGAACGCAGCACAATGACATACATGGTGGCGGCTTTCGTTGGCCGATTCGAACACGGTAGTGATCGTGATTCGGACGATAGCCCTGCCAGTTGCCAAAGCTCCAGAAGCCTCAAGTCCCATGTGGTTTGCTAGGTCCGCTCCCGCAGGGTCTGCGCCGGGGCTACGAAAAGCAGAATTGGCCATATCGACTTTGTAGTGAAGCTCGCGGATGGCTACCAGAGCTGTCCTACAGACGCCGCTGAGGGAGCTATCGGTTGTGAAGGAGACAATCTTCCTGAGGACAACGCCCGGCAGTACGCCAAGGTGGCGTCCTTCTGCTGCAGCGGCGGGTGAAGATGATGATGGTGATCGGGGTGCCTCGGCGACGGTTTGCGTACAGCAGTGCCTGCTGCCGTAGGTGGTGGTGGTACCACCGCTGAGGCGAATCTTTTTGTCGGCGGGGAGCGAAGAAAGAACGTCGAGAGCGCGTGTGTCTGGCAACGAGGCGGAGTCCATGTTGTTTCCTGGTACCGGCCGGCAAATTCGAAGCAAGCAGGAGCGGCAGGCAAAAAAGACGCATCATGTGTGAGACTGCGCCGCTTCTGTCTCCCACCGATGATGAGGTTCTCTAAAGTCTTGCTGCGGAGGATCAATATTCCGTCCTAGCCGACCCGGGTCCTGAAACGAAATATCACTTGCCAACCAATATCGCTGCTCCAGGATTCGTAGCGGACATAGCGAACAGGACTCTCAACATCGGAAACTACTGTACCGCCGTAGGCTCAGGGACCAACAGGTGAATTAGCCCTACTTGTACGCCAAGCGAAAATTCGATAATTCAAACATGTGGCAACCAACCCAATCGCTGTCGATGTGCTGACCTTGATGTATGGCTTTCCCTGCGGTAGGTTGGGCTTTAGCTGGTACTAATCCCCTGTAGCGGACGCGGAGGAGATGAGTTGTGTGCAGGGGAGTGAGTGCGTGCATGTAAGACAGAGGTGAAGGAAGCATTGTGGCACTCTCGCGAACTTGCGCGAATTCGCTGCAAATCTCGCCGCATTTTTCGGTTCCTCCTGACATGTGGTTCGAATTTCGAACTCCCGGACATGGCACATGAAGGCACACGTGGTGTGGCGCACGCCTTCGGCGTGGCGTTGCGGCTACCACAGGTTGCCGCACATTGGCCCTGCGACCTATCTGGAACGCTGGAGTGGCGACCGGGGTATCGGTTGTGGGGCCAGCCGGGGGTTTGAGGGCCTTTTCGGCAGGACCGTAAGTTTCGCCGCACTTTTCGGTTCTCTACCCTTGCCCGTCGTTCCCTCTGCTCGTTGCCCCTCGCCAGCACCCACACGAACACGACACGCAGCACGACCATCTCTACAACACCAGTAACCGCACATATTTTCGAAGTCTACACTACTAAGAGCTCGGCTTAGGCAGCATCGACGGGAACCACATGTCTTCTCAAAACCGCTCCAAAATGGGCAAGGCCTTCGCCAAGATGACCACGGCTTGTCCTCAGCAGGTCTGTTCTTCAGTGCGCGTTGCGTTTGGACGAAGCGTGGATGCCAAAACTCTCAGTTTTCTCTCGAGAAGAGAAATAGAAAGGAATGGTAGATGAGCGGCGTAGTCCTCCGTGTCGCTTCAATGTACATAGGAGCGATCCTGTTGTTCCTTGCTTTGCCGCAGAGACCCCGTCTTGAGTAGACCCGTGTCTCTGGCGCTCCCTTCAGTGGAAATAAACAGCCGTAGGCGGGTAGCCCGTGACGGCGACATGAATGTTCTACCCGCGGGCGTGATAACCCGTCCCTACTTTGTGTTGGAGCGCCATAGCTCGAGGGGGTGTGATAACCCTGGTGGCGTGACAGCCCGATGGCGTGATAGCCCGGTGGCGTGGAAGCCGGGTGGTGGTGCGGATTCCGGGTAAAATAGGTATACAGCAGTAGAAACGGACGTGGACATCCTACTAATGGCATGGAAGCCGGGTGGCATGATAACCAAGTATGTTATGGGCGTGGTAGCCCTGGCCGTGATAGCCGGGAAAAAGGAATATGACTTTCCCAAGTACACGTGGCCATAGCGTTGCAGACACACATACCCAGAATACTACATTATGTGGCAAACATGGTACCACCATTCCCAATTCATCACAACTGCAGAACCCCCCAAATGGCGCGCTCCATCTGCTCGGAACGTTCCTTGATTGCAATAATCTGTCAATGCTGTGAGTATATCCGACAACCCGGTCGCTGGTTTCGTGTCACGATGCGTAGTCTATTAGTAGCCGAGCTGGCGACAACTGGGTTGGAACTGTATCCTCTGTGTTCCTTTTTCTGTTTCGAACCCCTCCGTTGAGCGACCCGTTCGCAGCGAGGTGCTCAAGGTTGTTTGCTCTCTCTCGTCGCCGTGTAGCCCACATCATATGCATGAATGCCTACTACTGTACGTGCACCTCGATACACACAGACACCCGAAGAGAAAGGTCCACCATAGACTAGACTAGAGTACTGCTGTAGTCAGGGATAGGCGGCGGGATAACGCACACGCACCATGGCTCTCTGAATGAATGTACAATTTCCATCTCTTTGTGCGTGGAAAATTATCTCTCTCTCTCACTCCACTACAGCCTCGCATTTTGTGTATACTGGATTCCACAACGTGCCTCACAGCTTGTGGCATATAAGGCTGACTACAGTGTCTTCCTCTTGCTGTTGTTCCGCGTGGGTCTTCACGTGAACCAGATTGCTGGTTACGGGACTTGTTTACAAGCCGCGTCTACGGCGGGCATGCTAGAGCGAGGGGTCTGCGACGAACAGTTCAAAGCGCTCAAGCGGTGTTTCCAGCAGGCGGTGAGTCATGCAGTCGAGAGCTCTCAAGACGCAACCTTCGTGCATCACTGTCAGATCTTTGAAACAACGAATGTTCGATCACAGATATGAGTGCGGGATAAATTGGCAATAAGTTCATTATGTTGCATGACCTGCGTTTCTACGATTGGCCGAGCAACCTATCGCGATACCTCCCCTGTGGGGAACAGACTCAACAAGACGGTGTGGCGGTCATCTGGTGTATCTGACCATTGCTTGTGTGCTAGGAAGGTGTAGAAGGGTGTAGATGTTGACGGTTGCTGTCAGTTGGCCCCGCGTGGTCATTCCGAGCGCTGACACCATTAGTTCATGCTCTCACTGCTGTCGTGTCGGAAGTTTGCTGCGGACGCCCCACTTTGAGTAGACGGCGGGCTTTACCATTGTTCTCCTTGCGGCAGCAGCATCAAACGTGCTAAAGAATTGAGCGGGACCACCGGCCGCAGCAGGAGGCCTCATATCAGCACTGAAAACAAGAAACACTTGGCACGCTTTTCAGTGCCCTCAACTGATACAAGACCCTTCGCAGTCGCGTGACCGAGAAGAAGAGCTATTGGGGGTTGGGTGCCTCCCTTGGGAAGCACAGATTTCCTGTCGAAGACCGTGGGGGACTTATCGTTACCTTTTGTTGTCGGCATGGCGCAGAGGCACTCGACCATCAACATCCAATGACATGATCTATCAATGTTGCCACGCAGACACGCAAACCACGCGCGAACGATGCTCGACGCCAACTGCAACGAACAAGCGCACTGACGCCACGTTCCGCACCCCCGCCGCGCCGCCGCTGCTGCTACAACACCATGTCCCAACCCCATGATTGTTTTCCCGAATTTCGTGCAGGCAAAGGGCTTAAAGGCCACCCGATGAGAACAGAAGCCTGGGTGGGATTTTGACGTATGTGTCGCTGCTGTTGCTCCTTTGCGGTGAAGTAGCAGAAGAATAGCGGTCCGCCAATATTGAGCCGGGACGCTCGATGTTTCCCCCAGCCATCAAGAGGCAACAGCAGTAGCAACATCTGTTTTCGGTTGCACAGGTGCGGGTAACACGCTCGACTGGGACCTGAGGAAGTGCCTACAAGAAGGGAATCATGTTGGATTTCCCGTACGTAGTGCTCTTCGTTTCTTTCTTACCTACTGGTATAGGGTTTTCCTACACGGGCCACAAGCGCAGGTCCGTTGGATTTGTGTGCCGTGATTGCTTCTGTGGGGATTTTGTTTTTTGTTGCGGCAAGTCGGGCTGTGATGCGCACACACGACATGACGTCTACGTTTAGTGCTGTTGACTGAGTTCATCGCAGAGGGCAACTGCGGGAGGAGGCACATGAGAGTAGAGAAAAAGCTGGTATATTCGACCGCACTGTATCAAACCTGGTTGGTATCTGGTGCTCGAAACGCTTCGGTGCCGCGCACGCTGTTCCGTATGTATCTTAGGCGTGTACCTTGTGCTCACCCCATGTACCTTGCTTGGTGGAGTACGGCTTGTTTGGAAGCGCACCAGGAAATACCCCGATATTCACCCCGAGGCCAGTTCGACAGACCTTCGTTTTTGTGTTTGGGATTTTTGCTGGCAAGTCGGCTTGACCAATGCAAAACTCGAGCAGTGCTCTGTTTCTGGTCACACACGTCGTCGGAGGACAGGGGGGTGGCGAAAACAAACTGCAGCAGCATTGATTGCAGCGCTGCCAGTGTCCCGCGGTGCGTTGTGCTGTCATCATCGGCGCCGCCATCGCAGCCCGGTCTCGACCACTTCGCCACGCCCTTCCCTCGACGGCGGTGTGCTTATTATTAGTAGTAGTTATTAGGACCGACCGCGCTGGCTAACCGACTGGCCAATGAAAAGAAGTCAGTCTCAGAGCGACTGCGGATATGTTCGAGAACGTGTCTACCAAAACAGTACCACTCGGTCTACGAAAATCACTCGGCCGAATGAAAAAGTCGCCATTCACCAACACACTAACCGCAAGCTTTCAGCAGAGAAGGGAAAAAGTTTCCTCTGTCGTGCGGCTGTACTACCTCACATCATTCACAGGAGTAAGCGGCGATCTCTACAGCACATTTCGTGCATCAGGATACAGTAACGTGGACACACAGGGTCCATACAGTATGTGGACACGTATACCCCCCCCCTGAAAGAAGGTGCATCCGAGTCCCCCCATCCCCTCATAACAAGCAACGCGTCGAGGGTCCACAAACATCTTTCCAATACGATGACACAACGTACTACTGTAAATGCACATGCTTACAGACACAGTAGACTCGACCACAGAACCGTGATGAGCCCACGTGTTTGTTAAATTACTACCTCTCTACGGCTACAACAACATCATCCAAAGTTACACACATTATTGTTGTAGATGCACGTGGCTCTCCGTCCTGCAAAAACGAAACTCCTCTTCCTCTGCAACTGGAGGACTGGCTTCTCTCTCTCTCTCTCTCTCTCTCTCTCTCTTCTTGTCCCTCTCTAGGGATTTAGGGAGTGTTTACAACAGCAACACTCCTCCACCGCATGATCACGCGCGCGCGGGGGTATTCCAGACCCTAAAACAACTCTCAAAATAGCAGCATCAGTAATGACACGCGTCTCTTCAGTTTTCATACCAAGCAAACGTGGTACGCGCCAATATATCCAAAGAGCGCGCTTACACCTTGGAAAGAGAAAAAGACAAGCATATCTCACGGTCTTACATTCTAAGCGCGTACCCAGACAATCGAGGCTACTCGCATCGCAACCGAAACAACATGCCCCCCTCGACACCAACATCGACAAACTATCACGACTCTACCAAGTATTAAATCTCTACCAAGCAAACAATAACGAGCAAATGGCATGCACATCAATGATCAAGCGCCCGCGTCTCTCGCCGTCGTGCCGTCATACCACGCAACAAACACCACTACTGTGCAAGCGTAACACGGTACGTACGTAAACCACACCGCAACAAACTCGGCGGGAATGCCCTGGACATAAGAGATGGACACCGGGCGTGAAAAAGCAATGACCAACAACCGGCTAGGAGGCGCACTTCCCAAAATAGAAACAGTTATATCCGTTTTGTTCCAGCGCCGGTGGATCGGTTGAAAAACGCCCCCATTCTATCTAAAATACCCCCCGTTTCTTGTGTTGACAACCGTAACCGATATTAGACGCCTACTGGGTTTCCAAATGACCCGGGTACAACCGTTTTGCTCCCGGAAGGGCATGGACACCCACGCCACCTACAGCCAGCACGGCTGTAAAACTCCCTTTTCACAACAGACACACAGACACACACAACACCGTTCGGCATTCAACACTATTAGTAATAAATACGAGCAGATTGATCACTCCTCTTCATCTCCTCGCGATCATCGAGTACAAGCTTCCCAGCCGCTCGTGGTCTTCCACCACCACGGCAGGCGGCAAAGGGAGGGGCTGGTTCTTCACCACCCCCGGGTTTCCATCTCCCCAGTCACCGCGACTCCACCACCCCAGAGCCTCGGCACGTCCCGACGGTGCTCCGCCCCCGGCGTACCCCACGGCTAGACCTTTGAGGGCGTACCCGAAGCTGTCGTCGCGCGATAACACCGCCCCCGGCCCCATCGTACTTCGGCGGTTGCGCGGCGAAGCGGCCATACCCGTTCCCGCCGCTGCCACGGTACCGGGCGTGGGGGAAAGAGAGGCGGACGAGCGCGTGCCGAAGCCGACCCTTGGGCTCGAGACACCATCATCGCTTCCCTCTGGAGGGGGCGCCGCGAGATCATCATCCCCCGGGGGGGTCCGACCGGAGGCGTGCGTTGCTGCCGCTGATTCTTGTGCGGGCGGTTCGCCGGGAGTCTTGTCGAGAATGAGGCGTTCTTCCACACGCCCCCGAAGGTCGGCCACCTTGACGAAACGTTACACGTTGCGCCGCGGTTGTTCGGGACACAGCAAGGTCACCGACGAGGTAGATATGATTAGAACAAAGTTGTGACCGACATACGGGATGCCTCCTGAACCTAGAAAAGCGAATATTGCCGGCAGTCCAGTCGCCTTTCCCAACGTCTGGAACATCTGTGCGTCTATCTGCACTAATAGCGTCACTGGCAACCTCAACTGTGAACCTAAGCCTCCCCCGATTTGCATTATGTAAAAATGCACTTTTCATGGCTTGCGCTTCCAGCTGCCGAAGCAAAGCAATCAATGTCCATTCCTACAAATGAGGGGGTGGTTCGCAACAGCCCGTTTGCATCAAATCTTTTGCAAGCAACCATCGCCGGTGGTACGTCCATACGCTCTCTGGCCCAAATCGCACCTCTTGTTCCCGTTGCCGCAGGCGGGAGTCTCGGTCCTTGACCTGCGCCGTGAGCCTTTGCACCTGCTCGTCTCTTTCTCGCAGGCGTTGCTCGAGTGCCTGTTATTGTTTTAATGGTTGTGGTTATTGTTGTTGTTGTTGTTGTTGTCATCATCATCGTCCTTCAACAAGCAGGAGCAGTGGAGAAGACACAAGACCCGGTCCCCGTCATAGCTGAATCTACGTCAAACGATTTCAGGAACGGCTTGTCTGCCAATCAGGAGAACCATGCTTCACATGGTACAAGAACGTCCGAGTCGAAAAAAAACAGCACCGGCTGCCTACGAATAGTAGCGCCCCCTGCGCCCCGCATGGGCTTTGAACACCGTGCGTGCTCGAAGGTTACCGCCGGACCGAAAAACGCCACCGGTTTCCAGAGGCTGGTATTCAGGCCGAACAAAAAAAAAAACGCACCTGGACCAGGGCGCCTAAGCTCTCCGACTTTGCGCGCTCCGCCACCACGGCATCTCGCGCTCGCGCATCCGCTTCCTCCAGCGCTCGCCTTAGCGCCGCCCTCCCCTCGACATCACCGGTCTCTGCCGTCGCCGCCGAGAGGGTCAGGTCTTTCACGCGCCTCCGAAGGTCGTCGAGCTCCGACGGCAACGGTTTTTCCGGACTCACGACAAACGCGGCAGGTGATGACGGCGACACTCGCGGGCCGTCATTTCCACCCTCCACCGCTGGGGTTGCCGCCGCCGCCGCCGCCACCGTTTCTAGGACGGTGTTGCTACCGTCGCGATTCTTGCCCTTCGCGGGGTGCGCGCGCGACCGCGAGTCGCCGCCGCCGCTACGGTCGACGGCAGCGGCGAGGAAGCCCACGACCCCGCCCCAACCACCGCCGTTCGACGACCTCCACCCCGTGCCGCCGCCCGCCGCGGCGGTGCCGGTATCGGTCGATCTCGGCCTCTTCGTCGGAGTCCGCAACGCCGCCGCGTCCACGACCACCGCCCCCTCCTCCTCCTCCTCGGTGGACGGCTTTGCCGGGGAATCGCGCCGGGGCGGTGGTGTCCGACTATTCTCTTGGTGATGCCTGTGGCCGTTCTCCCCTTTGTGCGGCGGAGTGCCGTTCGCCCGGGCGGTGGCAGCGCCACCGCTGGCGTTGTCCGTAGCAACGGCGCGAGGCTTGCTGCGGGCGAGGGAAGCAGACAGGGACGGCTGGCCTCCTCGAGCCTTGTCCGCGTGGCGCCTGGACCTCGATGACGACGCCCTGCCAGACCGACTCGAACTCCCGTGCGTGACCCTTGCCAGTGCCTTCTTGATCGCCCGCCTGTTGCTGTCCGTGACCTGTCGAGGGCGAGAGCGGGAAATAAGAGGGCGTACTGTTCTTCGCAAGCGTTGCTCTGGCGTCTGCTACCGCCCCTCCCGACAGAACCGACAGATAAGACTTTCCTTGAGCGAAAAAATTATCAAAACGCGTGCGCGTGTTCGTGCTTTTTGTAAACCGGCATTGGCCGCGCTGGCAGGATGCGTGTGGGTGTTCTCGTGCCACCTAACCTGGGCGCCGGGTAACAAAGCCTCTCGGTCACGTTTGACGCACCAACCGGGGTCACAAAAAGGAGGAAGGTAAACACAGGAGCTTTCTTTCTGTCTCTACCGATGAAACACCGCCACCATGATCACCACCACCAACAGCGACTACAGCTGCAGCAGCCGCAGCCGCAGCAGCAGCAGCAACAACCATGACCACCACCGCCACCACCACCACCACCAAAATCAATATCAACAAAACAACAGCAGTAGCAACAACAACAATAACAACAACGACAGAAACAAAAACACCGCACCTCAGGATCAAACTTATCGCCAGGCCTATCCCCCCGGTTGTCCTCCGCCTTCGGGTTTGCGCCATTCTGCAGCAGGAGGGCCACGACTTCCGGATGGCCCGAGTGCGTGGCGTGGTGAAGAGCCGTCCCTTTGCCCTGTGTTTTGTGTTGTGTGTTGTGAGTTGTGTATGGTGTGGGCCGGAACCGAAGAAGCGGCAAGGCCACAAGCGACTACCGTGCTAAAGCCGACTGCAGCTGCATTTCGTGCCAGCCTGCAGTTGGCGAACGAACTCCATTCGACCGGTGAGTGCGAGTCATCGGCACACACTGGAAATAAATAGTTCGTGTCCTGAAGAACCCTCCCCCCCCGACCCCGAGCTCCTTCATCTGAAAGACGTGCCAAATACGTGGGTGAGGCCCTCAAAGAAGCATGGGGCCATAGAGCCAAAGCAATGCCACATCTTGGTATAAGACGATGGCACAAATACAGCAAAGCTCCGCCGCATGTCAGCGCCATCGAAACTGTGGGTACCACCAACGACAACAGTAGCAGCAGCAGCAGCAGCAGCAGCAGCAGCAGCAGCATCGGCAGCGGCAGCAACAGAAGGAATCTTAATCTTCCCGTGCACGCTGCTTACCCTAGTTTTCGCGGAAATATTCGCCCCGCGCTCCAGCAGAAGCCGAACGACCGGCGCGTTGCCCCCCATGCACCCCCACACAAGGGGGGTACCGTCGGTACTGGTTCGAGATTCCACGTCACCCCCGCGCTCTAGCAGGAGCGACAGGGCGTCGGACCTTCCTCGCTGAAACGGCAACACCGCAGGCGACCGCGCGGGGGGTGGAGTGAGAAACTACAGGAGGTCTGCGGTACTTCGTTGGACCACGGCTTATGCATCGCTTTGGACATTGGAGCGTTGATCCCATTTCCCCGACGAGGAGATGCGGCCGACATTCACGCGCTCTTCGCGTGACTCCGTGTCACGTGGTTTAGGGGAAACAGCTCGCGAAGCTTCCTTCAGACAAGCTCTCGCCCTCTGTGTATCATTGTCTCGCAATAAAGGTACACGAACAGTATTGTATTGTAAAAGGAGGGCGTTCATGTAATATGAAGTAAAAAGAGGGCGCATGTGTATTTTTTTTGTGTTATTGTTTTTTGAGTTTTTCTTTTTACGAGAGGACAAATCCGACGGTTACAAATCGGGATAACAGAAGACGACACAAACAAGAGGCGATCCGGTTCGTGGTGAGTGGATTTGGGGTACTGCTGTACCCTTGGAACGCCAACGCCCCATGTTAAAACACCATCTCGAAACCCACCCCTTTATCTTCCGTCACTTGAGCCCAACAAGGTCGGCGGAAAAAAAAGCACACAGCAGATGCCGGGAACACAAATCACCACGCACCCCGATAAACAGCGTCACCGACGACCAAACCTGGTACATACAGTCGTAGGCCCTCTATAAGGTGGGTATGCGCCAGACCGATTCACCTGCCCTATGCAGGGCATCAGCACTATTCAATGCATCAACCGTTAAACCGTCTTGAATATCCTATCCGTGCCAGCCATTTTCACCCACCCGAAAGCGGGCACCCGCCTTATATAACCCGCCTTCCCGCCTTATAGAGAGCCTACGACTGTACCATGATATATACGACGGGGCCGAGAAGGAAAATAATATTTCAAATGTACCCCCTTGGCAAAAACCCCCTCGATTCCGCGTCACCCCGCGCGGAGGGGTGACCAAAAACACCCGCACACCCCGCAAAACACGAATTTCTGCTCCCCAGCCTCCCACCTTCAACTTTCCCTCGAAAACAAAACAAAAACTTTCCCACCAAACCCCAACCCCACAACGCAACAAACGACCACAAGTTCTCACCAGGGCGGCCCAATGCACGGGCGCGGCGCCGTACTCCTCATCCTTCTGCTCGGGGTCCCCCCCGGCATCCAAGTAGCGCTTCACCACGGCCAAGTCTCCCCGCTCCACCGCCCGGTGGACGTCTATCCTCCTCCACGCCATCCTCCGGTGGTCGGTGGTGGCACGCGTGTGGTATGTATGATACCAGGTTTGTGAAGAGGTGCAAGTTTGTTGGTCACGTCGCTGTCCTCTTCTCCCGGGGGCACCGGGTTAGACCCCCCCCCCCCTCCCACGACCCGCGCCCCCAAAATATGGATGGAGCCACGCACGGCCTGTCTAGCGCCACGGATCACGGAGCCCCTGCTGCGGTGGCCGGCCCCCTGTACGGTTTGCGGGCAATGCGGGGATCTCAATCAGTCAAGACGGAACAGCAGTACCAGCAGTAGTATGCGTAGCAGTGTTGACGGAGTTTGGGAAGTATTGGGTAGAGGAGTGAATCGATAGGGGGAAAGGACGTATGTCAGCACATCAGCACGCCCAGTACCTAACTTGGCCTGATGCTGGGGTTTGGGAAGTATCGGGCAGGGGCGGGCCGGGAGGGAGATGGGACGTATGACAGCATGGTCATAACCTAACGTGGCCTGATGCAGGGTTGGGGCATTTGGATGGAGTTTGGGTGTGTGGGAAGCTAAATAACGCGTACCCTCGGCAACATCGCACACCACTGCTGCCCGCCGCCCAACTCCCCCCGGACAAACTTGGACGCTAAATTTCTTCACATACCGCACAAGAGAACAACCTTGCCTCGCGGGCAACACCTGGATTCATCTCATCAAGGCTAGAAAGCTTAGGCTGGACTCGCTTGTCAAGAAAAATGGCAACCAAAGGGCGCTGACCAAGGCAGCACTGGATCTTGTCTAGAGACAATTTCCAAGGCAAAAAGACGAGCGAATACGTTGGGCTGTCTTCGTACATACATTAGCGGTTGTTGTATCACAATTCCAAGGTAAGATCTAGGATGCGCTATCTTTTGAAGCGGTTATGTCATGGATGGAAGGAAAACCCTCGTTTCCGAGAAGCCGTGGGAGGATTCTTTGCGTTCCCAGCACGACCATTGGCGTAAATACACTGACGGTTTTCGCCCGTGTTGTCTCAAAGTAGGGGGCGGGCGGCAACATCCATCTGCACACCCGGGAAAAGATGATGCACTACGTCACGTTCGGCAAACGAGACAGGCGCCGCAGCCTTACAACGCTACACAATATTTTGCTGGGCTGTGTAACGGAAAAAAAACATGCATGCGCCGGTTGGCTACAGCACTGCTGTACGTAAACCTCCCTTTCTCTGCTGTATTGAACGGAGTAGACACGAGTTCGTCCTATCGCCATGCTATGCCGACGAAACCGGCACCAATCAAAACAGCGACACCATCTCCCTCGAGGACGACGCAAGTACCCATCGACACGCAGCAGCGTTTTTAGTTGCGCAAGGAAGTCGGCGTCACCGGGAGGAAGCCCTTGTTGCAGGACCCTACACATTACGTAGACTCACGCACATGGCTCTTTTCGAATTCGGACAGTTCTTGGGTGAAAAGTCTACATTCACCTTTCGTTTCAACACGTCCGATCTAGTCGTAACTTTACCTCCTGTGAGTGTGTGTACTTTGCCCGTATCGCTGGTTCAAGTGGGTGTACGTTGGGGAAGCAAAGTTGTTCAGGAGGTTGCTGTACGATGACAGGCGGACAAACTCTTGTTCAACTGCTGCGTTGTGCCGCGCAGAGATTGGCCACAAGCGAGATGCTTCACGGCGCAAAAGGGGGGGGGCTTGCCACACAACACGTCGCACACACACCCTGCCGGGTAAAATAGGATGTGGGCCATGAACAGGGTGTCAACTGACTGCCCGAAGGTGTTATGGTGCGCTAGCAGCGAGATACCCAGACCCCGGCAATAGGTAGCGGTTCGGACCTCTGGCTACCGCCAGCAGGAGCTATTGTGCGCTTGATACACAACAGCACGAAAATCTGGCAACCGCGCAGCAGTAGTGCAGGGATCCCACCGACGATGGGATTCTCACGGGGCAATGAACAGTAGAGCGTTGGAGGCAACGCGACAACGTGAACCCCACCAACGTAAAGCGTAAAGTGTCATGTCCTCCTCGCAGCATATCCGAAAATTAAAATTCAAACCTTAGAGTCTTCACTGCTGATTGCTTCGTAAGACAACCGCACTCTCTCGAGCGCACCACCCGAGCCCCCTGTGCTCACCTCCCAGTCGTCCCGACGACGGTGATAAGCCTCTGTGCAACAACAAGACAATAGGCCCCCTCTCTTCCAGGTTTCCGCTGGCTGTATGCTGTGGTGTGTGTGGATGTTGAACGGCTGGAAGACGGGGCACCATCTTTTTTTTTTTTCAAGGACAGATGCATACCACCCCCCTCCTCCGCTGCTCTTGGCCCCCCCCGTGTGGTGTTGTGTTGGGCAAAGTCAGCTGCCGCAGGCACTGCTGCTGCAGCTGCAGAAGCACGACAGCACACAGCACAGACACAGCGGTGTCAACGGGCTCACCTCCCGCGAGGGTCACTGCAGGGCGAGCAAAAACAGGCGAATCGCCAAAGTTCGGCGGCCAAGATGGGTATCCTAGAGCGGATCAAGGAGATTGAGCAGGAGATGGACAAGACCCAGAGGAACAAGGCGACCGAGGGGCACCTGGGAATGCTAAAGGCCCGTCTCGCCAAGCTCCGGTCGGAGCTTCTCACACCCTCTTCCGGCGGGGGCGGCGGCCAGGTGACTTCCCTGAGTGTCTTTGCATGTTGCCAAGTGCGCTGGTACTGCTGTGTGTGCCCACTAGAAGAACATGTACATTCAGTAGTGCGGCAGTCCGCCACGCGCAGGCAGTGTTCTGGGCGGCACGTGCGAAACAAAGCAAGCAATCACCTGCCGCATTTTATATGTACATGTGTCCGCACGCTGCTCACCGTTGTCCGAGGAATGACACCGTCCGTCATGGCCACATAACACCACTGAGAGCGGACAGCAACAGCAGCTTTTGACTGCCGGCAGCTGTACTTGTACATAGGAGGAGGAGGTAGAATACTGCCGTAGAACTGCTGCAGAACACGGGGCGGACATGCACGGTCACGAATCGCATTCAGCACCCACGGCCACATGAGCTGAATGCTCGGGCGACTTACTCGTTCGGCAGCTCGACATCCAATACCCATGCCACAACACCAAATGCATTTCGGTGACCCCCTGTCACCAATCTCTCGAACCACCGCTGCCGTTGCCGCTGGGAAACATGCCACCCAAGGGTTTCGATGTGGCGAGAAGCGGGGACGGACGCGTCGCGATGATCGGGTTCCCCAGCGTCGGAAAGTCGTCGCTCCTGAGCGAGCTGACGGAGACAGAATCTGTGGCGGCGGGGTACGAGTTCACAACGCTTACATGCATCCCCGGAAACGTGAGCTCACGGTTGACAAAAAAACGTACAAGTAAAATATCACGAACAGGTTGCGTTTTGGTAGACGAAGTGGAGGCCACAGCTGTATTCGAGCGTGTGAACGAAGATCGTGGGTCACGCGTCTTGTAGAGCCTGGTACTGAGGCCGTTCTTCCGAGGGGTGAAGGCCGGCTTGGTGGGACAAGGCTACTTGGCTTTGACCGACCCGTACACATGTCTTCTTCGACGCACTTTGGCTGCCGACCTTGCACAACGTCGTCGAGACCGTTTGCCTTACGCCGGCCAAACGGGGCCGTTGCAGCGTGTTTCTGGCAGGAGGCATAACAGAGAGAAGGAAGGCTTGGGTTTCAGTCACGCCCGCCTGCATACGAAGGGGCCCGTGGCAGCGTTTTGCTGGCAGGATGCAACAGAGAGAAAGCGTAGGTGTCAGCCTAGAAGACCCCGAGCTGTGGTGTGCATCGTATCCCATCGTTGACTGTGCACTTGAATGCTTGGGAACGTTTCCGGCTGCAAAGGCTGACACGCTTGCGTCGCAAGTTGTCTCTCGCCCACCCCCCAGTCGAAGCGATTGCTTTCACAAGCCTTTCGCAACACTCCCCCTGGCGCTTCGCACGCGGTACTACTAGCGAGCGCTTAATCTGCGGTGAGAAATCGACGTTCGCCGGCCGGGATTTGCACAGCAGCAAGGGGAGAGAGAGCCCGCGGACGACAACACTCGACCCCTGACGGTATACACCCTTGCTCCCTCACCGCTGTGCCCCCACCTGTTGACAGGTCTATTACAACGACACACGGATCCAGCTGCTGGATTTGCCGGGTATCATCGAGGGCGCCGCTTACGGGAAGGGCAGGGGTCGAGAGGTGAGGTGAATGTTCGACTGCGCAACATCGGCATCCTCCGGGTTTTTACGTGTTGAAGGGGAGGTGCTCTTGACTCTTTTGTTTTCGTCCCGTCTATTCCGGGCGCCAGTTTTTACGCCTTCGGTGTGTGTTTAAAGCCGCACCAGCCGGGGTTGCGCAGGAGGGATTCTCCATTTTACGTCCTGCGGTGCTCGCCTTCAAATTTGAATTCTCGAGGTTGTTTTTTGATTGTCGGTTTCTGGAGCATGCACCCTTGTGGATGCGAGCGCTTTTTGCGTGAGGGACCTGTGCATGTGTGCAGTGGCCGTGGGCATCAGGCAACAACTGCGACAGGGGCTGAGCCGGGTCTCTGTTCTGAGTTTTGTTTCGGCCGTTGGTGCGTGTACGATCTGTTTTCGTCAACTTTTTCGTCACGGCTGATGTGTGGTGCGCTACTATTTAGCAGCGCGTGGCAACAGACGCCACCGTCCTCCCGAAGCTGTCGACGCGCTCAAGTCACGCAGCACCCAGCCGGCTGCATCTCTCGCGATTAAGTGACGATCTCGATTATGTTTCTCTTTCTGCTCTCTACGTTGGCACTGGTGGCAAATATTTCCCGCTCTTTGTAGACATGCTCTAGATAGATAACCCCGTCGGGTGAGTATGCCACGTTCGCCATGGCCCCGAACCTGCCTTTCGAAGGTTTCCATGACTTGTGGCTAGACGTAATGATCGGGAAACACTGCCCACGAAGCGAATGCGACAACAACGACAGCACAAACAACAGCCAGAAGAAATCGCCGACGACAACGACACCACCAACGACAACAACAGCGGCAAAGACATCGACAATGACAATGACAACCACAACAACAACAACAACAGCAGCAACCAACGACAACAGCAACGACGACGCTAAACACCACAGGTTATCGCAGTTGCAAGGTCCTCGGACTTGATCTTGATGGTGCTGGACGGTGCGAAGGAGGGCGTCAACCAGCACCGGCAGATCTTAGAGAGGGAGCTGGAGACGGTGGGTCTGCGGCTCAACAAGACCCCGCCGAACGTGTACTACAGGTAAAGGCACCGCGAGCACCTTCGCGTTCACCTCTGATCCAGTAGCATTGGCGAGGGATGCTAACCTTGGTTGCGGTAGGGGCTACAGAGTTGGGGGATAGGGTTAGAGTGACGAACCAAAGTTCGTTTTGGTAGGGACTGCGGGGTTGGGTTGGGGTCAGTAGCCTTCGCAGCGTTGTTCGATTGTGTTAACATGTTGGATAAAGCATGCAACCGGGGAAGTTGGGTTGGGTAGGGTTAGGGGGGGAGCCTGCGTACCCTCTCCCAGTTCTATTTTCTCATTAACTTATTCATCTCGCAAAGGCGGCCCGTTTCGGGCTAGGGATACGAATATATATCGCTTACTATCGTTGGCGAAGGCTGTCCCCCTGATCCATATTACCGCCGCAGCTCTCGTCAACACGTGCGGAGGCGACGGGTGGGGTTGGACCGCCTGTAGGGGAAGTGATCCAGTATTGCTTTTGGCGCCCGCAGGCGGGTAATTTTGTCCTACGAGGCTGTCGTTGCTCGTGCCTACATTACCTCACCCTGTCGTGTCGTGTGAATCCTGCGTGTTTTACCTCTCGTGATGCGTACTGCTGCCCGTTTTGATCATCGCGTTGCGGCTCAGGCTTAAGAAGGACGGGGGTGTGAAGTTCAACAGCACGATCGCGTTGACAAAGCTTGGAGATGACCCGGGAGCCACGGTGCGTTTTCTTTCCAATCTCAACCACCACCTCTCTGCAACCTTGCGCTGCTACCGACCCCCCCCCCCCCCCCCCCCCCAAACTACAGCAGCCAGGTCGTTTTTGAAGCGTCACAACGGTGTTATTGCAATTCGTACAGAGGGAAGACAAATCAGGTGTTGGTGCAGGCGGTGCAGCTGCCAGTGAAGGCTATATACAGGGCAACCGCCCTAATATAGTCTTCAGAATGCCTCGACAGCAGTATTTCATCGTTTTCGGTGTCCGGAACGCCACAGCTTTCTAGAAAGCGGTTTGCTCGTGTACGAAGCCCGATTTTTTATGTCGCACTTGCATCTCTGAGGCGGTGAGTGTTTTTTTTTCCCAGGTTGTGTCTGCCTGGAAAAACGCCGCACGCATCGTTTTACCCGCGATACACAGCTCGTCGGCAGTCCTACATACCGCCTCTCTTACATTCGCGGTGTTGGCTTCTGCCGCTTGTGTGCTTCATGCGGCGTTGCTAAACTCGTGTTCAGGTTAAGCGAGTGCTGTCGGAGTACAAGATACACAACTGCGAGGTCCTGGTGAGGGAGGACGTGACCGTGGACGACATCGTTGACGTTGTGCAGGGGAATCGAAAGTGAGTTGAGGGCACAACAACCGTAGAAAATCGGATTTAACATATGTGTTAATTCAAGTGCACGAGTGTCTGGAAAGGATATGTAGGTGGAAAGAAAAGTACGCCATGTGTGAAGGTTACATGATTTTGGGCTGCGGCTGCATGTGTGCTGACCGTTGTCGTCGTCGTTGCTGGTGCTGAAGTTACCGTTTTGGCGAATGGCGGAGTGCTGCTAGGGAACCACAGAATGGATTGTTGTATCTGGACAACTAAATTCATGAATCTGGTACTTTTGGAAGACAACCATGTGCGTGGAAGTTGTCCCATAAAGTTTAAAGCAATTTTTTGGTTTCCATGTCTTGGAACATTGCGCGGCCTGTTGTGCCCCGAGCTACATGCGTTTAATCCTGACCCATGCACGTTATTTTGTCTCTCTCGTTCCCTTTTGGGTTGCGTCTGTGCAGGTACGTCAAGTGCTTGTACGTGTACAACAAGGTGGACATGATCTCGATCGAGGACATGGACAAGCTGGCGCGAGAGCCGAACTCGATCGTCGTGTCGGTGCACATGAAGCTTAACCTCGAGGCGTTGTTGGTGAGAAAAGGGGACCGGGGATAAGACACATGCAGCAGCGAAACGTCTTGAATCTATTGTAGTGCTGCTACATATATCGTTATTACAACACTATCTCCTGAGACTGGTTCGAAACACCTGACCTTGCGACCTACCCATGGGTGGCGTCCGACGCTCTTACCTCTTTACTTCTTTGTTCACTGTGTCACGGAAAGGGGAGGCTTGTAACCCCGCGCCAACAGAATGTTACGGCGGGGAGTGCGGTTTTGCGTCATTTGTTGTGGATCTGTTTTGTTGTTGTGCGGTACGCCACAGGCCCGTCGCTTGAGGCAGACCGGCACCAAACGTGCGGTAGGCCAGTACTGCGACGGGATCGAAGGCAGCCTTTGCATCTTTCACGGCGATGGAAACAGGGTGCAACAGTCGAGAGGTTCTGGCACCGGGATGAAGTATCACTAGAGGTTTACAGAACAACGATTCAGCCATGTTGTCTCCCTTCTGCATTTGACGGCAGTGGTTGGCGGGTCACGGGTTTCCGTATGGTTACTGTATATAACCTCGTGGTCGCAGGCTGGCACTTAGTTCTTGCACCTGTAGAGGACCAACCACCCTACATGTCCTACCTGAACACCGTTTTGTGTATTGAAATACCCTCCCCACCCTGGTTTTGAACCGCGAAAATAGGCCAAAATGTGGGTCTACATGGGGCTGATCCGAATCTTCACCAAGCGAAAGGGGCACCCTCCTGATTTCACGGATCCCGTGATTCTCAGCTCTGAAAGGAGCGGGACGAACGTGAAAGCGGCGGCACAACACATCTCGAGGGAGATGATCGACGTTTTCAACTACGCGCTGGTGAGAGAGTGGAGGATGGGTCTTCTCCTGCCTTGGCAGCTTAACCGTGGTCGACGCAAGATATCACGCCCCCTGGAGCAATTGTCAAAGCTCGTTTTTTCCACGGCAGAAAGAGTGGTGGCATCGAGAACAGCGGCGTTGGAACCGCCTCGTGGAGAGCTTTCCGAAAACGTATTGTTTGACTTATTTATCCTCCATGCCGCCGAGCTTGAATGTCGGTCCAGGGTGTGTGATATCTTACATCATGTCACCTACGGTATCTACCATGGTCCAGCACCCTGCCAGGCGTGCGGTGCACGCCAGCAGCCCTGGCTGTGGCGCCGAAACACATTGAATAGCGAAACGGGCAAGCTTGAAGCAGGGTTGTCATCCATGTACCATTGGAGAGAACGGCTTCGTATTGCCACTTCTCAAGCGGTTTTGCTCAACGAAGGGTATGGCGTTAAGCCTAGTGCACCATCCGTTGCCTCCATAACGGGTATGGAACGTGTCCCGAAACATGCTCATGCAGACAGTCAGCAGTGGCGATCTCGTACATGCTCTTGACAGGTGCCGAGGCGTGTACCTTGTAGCCAACCCCTTTTATTATCGTGTACGTTTGCTTGCTTGCACCGGAGGACAATGCTCAACTGTCGAGTTATACACGTATTGTCGCCTTCTACGGCATCGTGTGTGTCCTACTGGTGGTCTTGATCCATACCATTTTCGGGATCAGATCTCCGGAGATGACAGCAACAACACCTTGTGTGTATATTTATTTACTTACTTGTGCCCGGTCTTGCCCCGAGCAGGTGTGGGGACGCAGCACGAAGCACGACCCCATGAGGTGCGGCCTGGCGCACCAGCTTCAGGACGAAGATGTGCTTCAGATCGTGCCCAAGACTATCACCCAGCAGGTTCGTGGCCGAGGGAAAGCTTGCTTGGCTGGGCGACCGTTTGTGCCTATCAGCATGCTGTTTAGGCCACGCACCCACACACGAGATGTGGCACCACATGCTTGGGAGATTTCCGTTGTCTTTTTAATTAAAATCGAAATTCTGGAGCATGAGCTAGGACCACCTTTTGTTGGCATTGTTTGGGCGATATTTCGAGGACCAGATGGGTCGGCCAGCCGTCCTTAAGAGCACTGCTCAACACCATTGGCAATGGGAAAAGAGGTGGGCGATTAGTAGAGAACACGCAGCTCGCCCATTAGACCACCACAAACCGCTGTCCTGCTGTTCGATGCTTCACCTGCACAGTTTATCGCAGGAAACGAGGAGCCCGACAGCACAGCAGCCCATGTAGGGTCTTGCTTAGCAATTTTCGCAAAATCGCTCGAGCGCAGAGGATCGAAGTGTTGCCTCGCCCTCATTGTATTGCCTCACAACCAACATACACCTTTTTTCTATTTTGCTTGTTCGCCGCACGTGTCCCCCCCCCGTCTACACGACTTTACTTGTTTTTCGTCGTCAGAAACGGTCCAAGGGATACGTCAAGATAGCGCAGAACGCGAAAGACGCGCTGGCCACCAGGCGAAAGAAGAAACCGCTCAAGACGTGATTCATTTCATTCATTCATTTATTCGTGCCGATCGAAACGACCGGCATGAATTTCGTTCCTGTGGACTTCGAATCATCTACCCACGACAAAACCACTCGGTCCACTGAAGACAATGTGTACAATGCAAAGTCAATCAATCGATTAACCTTTTGGTCGAGATTGGGCGAACTGCTGTTTCTTTGATATTTTTTTTCTGGATACGACGTGGGTGCGTTTAACCAGTTGCCCCGAAATGGCCTCAATTTCGCGGAGCCTCAGTGCGCGTCGCCTACAAATAGGGCATTGTTGTTTTATGGAGGAGAAAGCAGAGACCGTAGCGCGGCCATGTCCTTCTTCATGCTTCCCGACGAATCAGCTCCGACCAGAAACTGGGCCTCCCGCAAGAATGCAAGTAGCAGCGGCGCCCGTGCGGTGGCCACGCCCGATGCAGGCGGCGACCTGTGTCCTTTGTGGGGGGCGTGGCCGTTCACTAGCTTGTGCTTGTTCTTGGAGCGTCTCGCGAGCGCTTCGTCGGCGACCTCGACCACCATCGGAACGACGGTCAGCATCGCGGCCCGAGGATCGCCCTGACGTTGGGGATGATTGTTTTGTTGTCGCGAGAGAGGTACCGTAGGAATGATTACACCAGCGTGTGGGAAGAAAGAGAGTAAGCGTCGGGATGAGGTGGGCGATGATTCCTGGCTGTCGAAGAAACTAGGATAAGTTGGCTCGTCGACAGCCGCGAGATTTTCATGTGTTTGTTTGCATGGCGTAGACGTTTTCAGTCGTGGACATCGAGTGATGTCGGACCTTTTGGTGTCGAGTATTGAAGGACTCTCACGTGGCTGGTTTTTCTCTTTCTTTTCGACGAGGTCAAACCGCGCACGCCACGGTGTCATTTTGTGGAAAGGAACGGGTCGGGGCTGTAGCGTTGGGGCTCGGCTCTCGAGCATCGATAGACAACATAGACTTGACGTGTTAGCGGGGCCGTGTACGACGAATGAATGCGTCCCTTTTCCGTTTGAGATTCGCGTGTATCTCCCGCATCAATCAATGCCCTGAGCCTTGGTTATACATTCCACACTTTCAAGACGGACGTTGTGTCGTTGGACAAGATCCCACGAGTCAGTTTGACGGACTTCAGCTTTAGCTTTTGTTGAGATTCACGAGGAACCACTCTACTACCAGTCAGCACCAACCTGTGCCTTTGCCCGAACCTCTGCCAGCTTCTTCCTGAGGGGCTGACGCTCGCACATCGTCATGATGTCGCGCAGCATGCCTTTCGCCTCCGAAACAGTCAACACCTGGAATAATGGATGTCGAGTATTAGGCAAAGTCGACGCCACGAAGAACGCTTCCAATCGAATTGACGGTCCTCACAAAATCGATGTTACTTTATTTTATTTTATTTTCCTTAGTATGACACAACGAATCCATCTCTATCATAGAAAAGAGTCAGAGACAGATTAGCAATGAATTCATAGCGTCAGAGAAAGCTACCTGTATATGTCTACGATTTCCCAGACAGAATATAGGGACATCTCCCCTGCGGGTAACAGGCTCAACAAAACAGTTTGGTAGCTGTCTTGTGTGTCTCATATACGTTATGTTGGGAAGGTGTGGCAGAAAGGTGTTGGGTACTGTTGGGTAGTCGGGCGTTTTGTGTGTGGCACCCTGTTTATTCGATTATTCCGTTGATTTCTTCCTTTTTCCGACGACGTGGTAACCATGTACCACAAGAGTTGAACGGGCGTGCAGCAACGCCATTTTTCGTGTGTCTTTGTGGCGTGTTGTTTTCCCGCTCATGTAAGACTACTAACCCATTCCCGTCCTCTCGGGAAACCAAAGGCGGAATCCCCAGCACCGGTTCAACATGCGAACATCTCTTGCGACAAGTAAGATCTTGAGAGTACGTGAGAGCATGAGGAGCATATATGTGCCGTCCTTGCCTCTCCGTCGGAGTCGCTCGCGTCTGAGTACGAGCTATCCAGAGAGGATCGTCGGTTCTCGCCCATCCCTCACTTTGCTAGCTGTTCCCGATACGTGGACAATGTTATGTTCCAGCTTCGTACTGCTGCTGCTGTACCTGTGGAAACATGTCTCATCGCAAGGCCGGAGTTTTTTGACACCCCCCCCGAAAGATTCATCATCGTCTGTAGACCCCCCACATCGGTCCAAGTTTACCTGCAACTCATGGCAACGTCTTGCGGCCAGCTCGTGCACACGGCGTCGTGAGCCCATATTCCGCTCCAAGGGTTGCCATTGAACGATGCCGATTCGCGAGCTGAGTGCGGAGCTCGTTAGCGAAATCGTTGAGAGCTATGGACAAATCACCAAGCTCAACCTGGCTACAAACGGTGAGCTGAGCAAGACCGCACCCAACGGCTGCATTTCTCTTCGACACGTTTGCAGGTTGCTGTAGCGCGAGGGTCGCAGGTGTGTTGATGTCGGCTACCTCACTACTCTGCGTCCAGTACTGTTGGGTATATGTTGCGGTTTTCACTATTTCCCATGTATCTGGTACAGCAGTACAATAGGTACATCATAGGCGGCGTAATTTGATTTTTTGAAATCACGCACGGTGTGTCACTCCCATCTGCGCTGCTGGCTCTTTTCTCAAGGGGACTGCGGCAGTACTTGGTTCGTAAAAGAGGTAGAACTACTGTTCATGCAGCATATTTAGGATATTTACAAGAGATCGCGGATTCCGTGCGGGTCTGCTGCTCTGCTTCATGTTGCAGTGTTTCCATTCGAAACCGTTGAAATGTGTTCGCATGCTCGCCCTGACGTCCCATTGCGCAAACTGCATGTATCTTTACCGTGTCGGAGGCCGGAGGCTGGGGGTTTCAAGATTCAGACTTCATCCTTGGGTGGTTATGTACTGAATTCAGCCAACACCCACAACGCCGATACCCTGTTTCCGTTGCACCTGCGCATGGCACTCGTGCACAGGAAATTCCAGGAAAATACTAAGTACCCTAGCCCCCCCCCCCTCTCTTAGTCGGTCCCTGGCTGCTGATCCGAATAATGAATAATGTCCTGGATCAACGAGCGATGGAGATTCAGTGTTCCCATTTGAAGCGTTGAAATATGTTCGCGTGTGTATAACATGTAACGTGAGAAAGTTCGAGGAGATTTTCAGACGTGTCCGTGAGTTGGGGTATTACACCAAAACCAACATTAGCCGGTCCTAATTTTGTTGACACCCCATTTTGGGCGTGTGCCACCACAAACGTTGTGCGGCTGTTGAGTTGGACCCGCCTGCTGCCTCAAGACTATGTACCATGGTGCAACTCAGGATGTGTTTTACCCCGTCCCTTCTCACGCTGCCAGATATATCCCGCGTCGAGAACCTGGAGAGACTGACTCGTCTTTCAAACCTCGACCTCTTCTGCAACCGACTGGGGTCCGTCCCGGGTAGCCTCGACGGCCTGGCGCTTCTGACGCGCCTCAAAGACCTCGACATCTCCGAAAATTCAATGTAAGACACTTCTCCGAAGGAAGGCAAACGGCCATCCCCAAGTGTTTTTTTTTTAGCATCGCCCAACGCATGACCTTTGGCGCCCGCTGCCTTTGGAGGAGAGCTCGGCTTCTTTGCATATGACCCGCATGTTTGTCCAATGCACCGAATGCGACCCCGTTCCAGTTCTCCCTTGCCTAGCCCCTTCTTAACCTTGCGTGTGCCATGGGCGTCTCTCCTGAACTGCAAATAAGCGAGGAGGGGGCGTCAAGTTCCTTTTTTTTTTTATGCGCGTTGGCGATGTGGCGCCTTCTTTCACCACGTACTTGATGTCAAGAGTGTAGATTCCTCACTGAGGTTCGAGCGCGCTTGCTGTAGGCACGCGTACGCTTGAAGGTTAGGTGGACTTCCTTCTGAACCATCGAAGAGATGTGGGAATTACCTTTGTCTGGCGTTCCCGCGCACGTCGCCTACGCTACTCCAAGCAATCGCTCGTGCATACCACGCGGCAAAGCGCACACGCCGTGCGTTGAGGTCGCCGTCGTCCTCCTTGTTGAATCGTCTCCTTGCTGTCGTCTCCCCCTCTCCGTCCGTTCCCCCCTCGACACATCCTTGATACCGCCCTCTCTGACCCTATTCCCGACTCACCCTCTCTCTCTCTTCGCTTCTTGCCCCCCCCCCCTCTTGGGGGCGTGTTTTTGTGTTCTAGCACGAGCTTACAGCCGCTTTTGTCGGCGCCGGCATCGCTGCTACGGCTCAACGTCGCCAACAACTCCATCGCAGGAGTCGATCAGGTGCGGTCTGTCCGAATATCTCCGTCGAAATCACGTTGGCATGTGTTGTAACCCCTCTTTTTTTTTGTCTTTTTTCGTTGCGCGTCACTCGTTTTGATATTCGTTAGGACTGTGTAAATCACAAGAGTTTCAAACTGCGTACCTGGACACGAATGAATGCAGTTTTTTGGCTCGTGTGTGCCTATTTTTTTCGTCATGACGCACGCTGCCTTGGAGCAGAACACCGCGTAGCTAGATACAGATGGCAAGAGGCAGTCACCCGCGCTTGGCAGCAACATCTCGCGGACGTGGGGGAAAATTTGGCATGGGCAGGACCCCCCCCCCCAAAGACAACGGGTATATTCACGGCAGACATTTCTGCTCGTCCACGTCGACACTTTTGTTCTCGTTCAAGGCGCACACGACAAACAAGGCCTTGGCTTCAACAACCGGACGCTCTTGTTGTGGCTTGACGGAACTCTTGCATTCTCCAGGCTACGTGTGGGAGGACGGATTTGCAGCGCAACTGTTTTCGTTGCTTACCCATTATTTTCTTCTTGTCTGATGCTTTTTGCCGACATTTGCTATTTAGGTCTCCTATCTGGCCCCTCTCTCTGCCCTCACGGAGCTTGTTCTCGCCGGGAACCCGTTGGCAGCGGAAGACGGCTACCGCGGCCGGATCTTGCGCGCGCTGCCCTCCTTGACAGCGTTGGACAACGCGTGAGTTGCCGCCCGCCCGATCTTGTCGGTATCGTGTACGCGTGCCCATCGTCGTGACTTGCAGGATAAAAAATCGCTTGAGGTGGGATTTTGGATGCGTGCCGGAGGCTGGTAACAAAAGCAGCACGGATGTTGGCGCTCTTGTTCAGACCTCTATTGCAATTAGAGGACGAAGAGCAAAGGAATGTTCTGTCCCTGGCATGGTGCAGGTTCTATGAGGGAGCTCGACACGTTGTTGTTGCCAAGCGTAGTCCTCGGGTAGTCCTCTGACGGCTTGAACCGGGAGTTTCTCTCCTCGAACGGACACGATATTTAGCGGCCAAGTTCACCAGGATCAGCTCGGATTCGCGATGCACAGTTTTGGAAACGTATCCACATGTGCGCAGCTCGTTGTTCCAGACGCAGTTTTTCGAGCAAGTACCTCAAGGCGAACCCCTAGCGGCAAACAATTTTGCCAACCCTTTAGAGTTCGAGGCATTTTCTACCTTCCATACGATTTTTCTTCTCGTGTCGCCGCCCACGGACTCCTTGCCGCCCTACCTCGTCCGTGACATGTCGTGGTCGCCGCCGTGGCAGCCCAAGAGACCAGCACCGCTACGACCAACACGAGGGTGCCGGTAAGGCTGACGGCTCGCCCACCCCGCCCGTTCCCACCTCCGCCCCCGCCGATACCACTGTCCGGAGTACGAGCGTCGGCTCGCATCCCACCGTTCCAATGGGACACCCACCACCATCAAAGTTCTCACACCCTCCTAGCCCCGCGGCGGATTCTGCTGCGCCCCCCGCACCCCTTTCCGATGCGAGCGACCACGACGTGGCCGGAGCGGTTATGTCGTCTCTGGCCGCCGAGAAGCGAGGGCCGGAGGACGTGTCTGGGAAGAGCCCGTCCGCGGAACCGGACTCGGCGTTGCCGGTACCGGGCTCTAGCGGTTCGATGCCGGCGGGGGCGGCCGGGATGGCCGAGACGGAGAGGGAGTCTCGGCAGGTGGAAGAACAGCGCGGCAGGGGAAGTACGGCAGAGACAGGTGATCCCGGTGAAATTGCTGCGGGTGCAGTGAGCGCTGGAAGAGCTGGGACGGGATGGGTGGTACCCCTCCCGTCTTCCCAGCTGGCAGGCGAAGGGCGAGGGCTGCTATTGCAGGCGGATGCTCGAGCGGTTACTCGGGCGGGGATGCCCGTGGGAGCAACATCTGCGACCTTGGCATTACGCCAGAGCGGTATAGGGAACTGGGAAGCAATCGGCGGTGTTTGTTCTGACATAGGAGCGGACAGTCGAAGCGGGTATGAAACGGTGGCGGCAGCACCGAGCGAGGAGCCGGTTGCCCCACCCGACGCTGTGCACGACGGTGGCGGCTTGCCGGAGTCTCGTCTAGCAGTTGAAACGGCACGAGCGGCCGTCGGAGTGCTGGGGAGGAGGCAGCACGAGACGGCGGTGCCCGACAGGGGCACTGATCACCTTTCGGAAGTCGAGGCCGTCGCGAGTGACGGCCCGCACGCCCGGTCGGATATGCTGCCGGGCGTGCCCACCTCCGTTGATCCACCGATGGGGACTCATCTCCCGATAGCTGAAAGCGAGGCACGGGGGGTTCCTCCTCCCGTCCTTTCCGGTGACAACCGCGTCAGCGTCGATGAAGGAAGCGGATGGGCGGCGAACGGGGCTCCTCCGCCACACCGACGCTTGTCGGGAGTAGGGAGCAGCTGGGAAAGCTCCTTGGAGGGCGAACACTTGCTTGGGTTCGGGTACGACTATCTCGGGTCTGCGGCGGGCGCGGGGGGTACAGGGAACGCGCGCACCACAGGGGGCGACCGCTCGGAAACCGTGAGATATGGCGCGGCCCTCTCTGGTGATCGCCGTCAGGTGCTGTTGGCGCCGGAAGCGGCCGCTTTCACGGCGCTGGGAGGGAGAGGGGACTTCGAGGGCGGCCACGCCGCCCATCCTGCCGACAGCGGTAGTGGCGTTGTCGACTGCCGCGTAGTATCCTTCGGGAAGGAGACCGGGCACGATGGACAGAACCGTTTCGATCGACACCCGTCCGCTCAACTCCCGGGCGCAGGCTATTCAGCCAGGCGTGGTGGGCCTGTTGTCGGTCTTGTTGGGGGACCAAAGCAACACCGTACGGGATTGGTCGAATACTCTCTTGGGTTGGGGCGGGAGGGGGAGGGGGTACTCAAGCCGCTGCCCCGTTCAGCGGTGCCCCTGAAGACCGGGACTTGGGGGGAGGTTCCGCCGGAAGTTCAGCCTCGGCGGCAAGCAGGGGGACACGCCGGAGGGAAGGCGGCTGTTGGAGGCGAGCGGGAGGTGGCGATGGTCGACAGTGGCGAGTGGGAGGCGCTGAGGCGTGAAAATGAGGACCTGCGGCGGCAGGTTGCGCTGTCGGAGAAGAGGTGAACGTTTGCGTGTCAAGCCCGAAGAACAGATGTGACTCTGGGTACATAAATCTCACAGCGGACATGGCCTTTTGTGTTGTCGATTGTCCGGCTGTGAGATTTGTTTTCACCAATTTTTTTTTTGTTGTTGCGTTTTTCGCTGTGGCGGTCTCTACTGCACCGTTTGCGATTGACTAATCATCCCATTCTAGTATCATCCCCGCGTCAGTATGCCTCATTTCGAAACTGAGCACTTGACGAAGTTCTTCAGCACACGACAGCCGTAAGCATGTTGCCGACTTACGAAGCTCTTCAATTACACGACAGCCGCAAGCATCGTGCAAGGCGGCAACACAACACATGACGCGTGGATTTAAGCCACATGTCCAACTCTCGCTTTCCTCCATCTTCACGTCCCCAAAAGACTCGACCCAGCCCCCAGCGTGCGCAACCAACCCCTGTCCAAACGGCTCGCGGCTTCCCCCAAGGTGCGGCGCCCTCTCGGAGATGCAACGCCTTGCGGACGACGCCCTCGCCGCCACGCACCCGCTCCCGTTCTGCTCACCGCCCGCGGGCACAACGGCACCAGAACGCCCGCCACCGCCGCGCCAGGAAGCGACCGACGGTGCACTTTCCCCGGCGTCTTCCGCAGAGGAAGGAGAGGAACGGCGCCGAGAACGGTGCGCAACGGGCGAGGGTGGCGACGAGGACGGGGAGGCCGCGTCCGGCGGGGGCGGCGGCTGGGGCGGAGGGCAGGCGGCGGTGGCCAGGCTGCTGGCGGCCTGGAGGGCCGAGGTCCTAAAGCTGCTGCTGCAGAGGGGCGTGGATGCGGAGGTTGCCGCGGAGGAGTCTCGCGAGGCCCGGCGGGAGGTGGTGGAGGCGAGAGAGGCGCGGGCTCGCGCGGAGACGGAGGCCAAGGTATTGGCTGCTTCGTCCTGGGAAGGGTGATGTGCTTGGGGGGTGGATGCGGTCTCGGCTCCTCTGATGTGTCGGAGACACGGCTTTTTTTCCTGGCGTGTAATGTTGGTTGTGGGAAGGAATGGTGTTAGCCACGTGCTTCGCAGATCATGCTGCTGTACGGGTTTCTATTTCACCCGGCGTCGTCTGCCTGCCGTAGTTGACTTCCGGGTGATAGATGCGTACAGGGCCAGCGGTTGAATGCACGTCTGTCCCCGTTGCTTGTGCCACACGGAACTGTCGGATGCGTCTTGGAATCTCTTTCCGGGGGTGGTTCGATGCTATCCGCTTTTGGGACAGGCGCTGTGAGTTTTCTCAGTCGCACGATGATTTGCGATGGTGTCACACCGCGGTATTTGCCGAAGCCTGTACCCTTTTCTGGCTTGCATGCGGTCAGGCTCACTCGCTTGGTGTTCTGCTGCTACTGCAACACGTCGCCGCGACTACTCCTCTTCTCGCAGAGCTTGACCCAGCGTGCTCTTGCGGCGGAGGCTGAGGCCGAGCTTTCCGGCATTAAGCTGACGCGGGCCTTCGAGGAGCTAAGGGAAGAGCGGACAGGGTGCGTGCCATACACCTACGTTTGTGTTACCCTTGAGGTTGTGTGCTCGCCATCTGTATCACGCGCTTGGGTGAAACAGCCGCACTCCATACGATGTGTGTTGTACGGTGATGGCTGTTTCGCGGGACGGTTAGGCTTGACGGTATGCCATGAGCCGCCTTGCCGGGACGCACGGTCAAACTGGTATCCCCCTTATCCCCCTATCTTGTTCGCTGCATGCCGTGCGCTTTGTCGACGCCACGCGCAGGCGATGCGCAGGCGAGGCGTCGAGCGCGGGGTACTCCGTGGCTGTTCGCGACCTGCACGAATGGGTACAAGGCTTCCTTGGCCGAGCCAGCGAAGGGGTGTTCGAGAGAGAGGCCCTGCTCGCTAGGTGGGGTGCATTACGAGCGGGGTTCTACTGTAGTTCGCACCTGGGGGATACAGCGGCTGCAGTTTTTCCGTGTCAGCGGAAGAGTCGGGCAAGGGTCGGGGCCAGGGAAGCTCGGCAGCGAAAAGCGGGGGGCCTTGAAAGTGTGGGTGCATCGTCGTGTTCCCTCTCATCAGGATTCTACCTTAACTTACGCCTCGTGATCCTAGAAAATCCTTCACTGTCTTTTGATTGATTTGGAACGAAAGGTTTCCTTCGGTTTGCGCTGTTTTCAGCAACATGCCTCGCTCTGGCCGTGCCGTCCGACACACGCACACTCGAATGCAGAGGAGTTGCAAAGCTAGAGGCTTTCTCAGAACGGCTGAGCCAGGCTCATGGAAGAGTACAGGTTCTCGAGACCCTCTTGCGACACAAGGAGGTGAGCTCCTTTTCGGTGAAGTTCGCGCTCTCCAATTCTGGTTATTTTCTTCCACCTATCCACAAACCGTAGGGTGCATGCATGTTCTCCTGTCCGCGAGCTTCCAAACAGAACGCGGCACTGCCACGTGTTTTTGTTTGTCTGTCGTACCACGTTCGGGGCCGGCATCGCGCCCCGGCCGTCCCTGTTGTGTGTTCGCGTCTCTGTCACACCTGTTGGGTCCCTAAACCTCTCTCTGCCGTAAGTTTTCACATCGTGTGTGCGGTCGTACGGTATAGGCGTGCGTGTTGTGTGACAAGTGAAGACACAAGTAGCACCCCCGAAACCACATACCCCCAAGAAGCAAGAAGAGGAGCAGATCGAAACGACAAGAAGAATCTCGCCGCTTTTACTGAAACGTTTCGTGGTTCGCGGCGGCGACGGCGGTTGATTGGTCGCGACCGTTTCTTGTGGATTTCGTCCTTTTCATCCTTCCCTTCCCTCCTTGCCTCCCTCCGTGCCTCACTCCCAGATCCGGCTACGGAACAGCCGCGCCGCCCTGGCTGCGGACCGAAGGGTGTGGCTGCTGGAGCGCCGAGACCGAGAGCTCGCCGCTCTCTCAGAAGAGGCCGCCCGCCGCCCGCCGCCCTCCGCGGCCTCCCCCGCGTCGCGGCGGAAACCCCACCGACCCGTCGGCGGCGGCGGCGGCGCCGGGGATTCATCATCATCATCATCATCATCATCGCGCCGCACGGATGCTGCGGGAGGCGAGTCGTCGGGGGGCGCCGATGGCGGCGGCGGAGCGTGGGGTGGGGGAAGGGGCAGTGCGGCGGTGGCGGCGACGCAGCCCCCGCTCCTGGAGGGTCTAAGGCCGGAGTGTGAGGCCGTCATGCGTGCGCTTTTTTGCAGGGTGGACAGGTGCGTCGGTGCCCCCGGTCGGTGGGCGCGCCAGCGCCCAACGTTTTGGCTCGCATCTGTCGATACGTCCCGCATAAGTAGATCCTGTACGCGTGTTGTTGTTCACCTGTCCTTCGTGCCAAGACCTGCTTCCCACGAAAAATCTTGCCCAACGTGTTGAAACTGTCTGTCGACGTACATGCCAATCCTCTCTGTACCCCGTGTATTTGCCTCGTCGAATATGCCGGGTATGTTCGTGGGTTGCGTTCCACATCTATCCCAGGCTCGGGACGGGCGCCGTACGGGCACGCCGCCTCCTGGACGTGCTCCGGTCGGACTGCGGCGTGTCCGAGGTGATGGAAGCCGCGGTGGGCAAGTCTCGCTGGAGAGCCGCCCTCGACTCGATGGAGGCGACGCTTTGCCACCCCGTCGCCGACTCTTGCACCACGAACGGCGACGGCGGGTCGGCCGCTCAGCGTGCTACTACCACCGCCGGTGGTGGTAGTAGCACTCGTTGCTCATCAGAGCGCGACGTCACGTGGGGTGAGTTTCTCCTCTTCTTCCTGCCGCCCGCCGGGAATGCGGACGATGCTTACAACGCCGGCCTGATCTCCCGCTTCCCCGGCGGTAGCGGCTGCCGGGGCGGGTTTCCAGACGAACACGCCTCCGTCCGTGATGCCGGTGGTGGCGGCGGCGGCGGCGGACGGCCACCCTTCGGGGCAGTCTCGGAAGACGCCGCCGCCATGTTGCAGATGGTCGTGCCCACTCATTGGACCGCCGGCGGGGGGCAGGGGGGGGCGGGGCTCGCGGCGCTCAGCGTGGGCCAGCTGCGGCGGGAGGTGCTGCGGCTTGCCAAAGAACGTGCGTTTCTGTTGGCGCTGGTGAGAGAGGACGGTCGGCTTGGGAAGCGGCGGGCGGAGGCCGTCCACGACCAGTACCGCCACGAGATGCGGGCCTTGCGCTCGAAGAAAGGGTGAGTGCCGCTAGAGATGAAGCTTGTGCCTGCTAGGTAGGCTAAGGAGACGAGGATGGCAATGGTGGTGCCTCGTACTGAGGCATGAGATTGGTGGAGCGGCCGCTGCTGGTTGTGCTGGTGCCTCGTTGATTGGTTGGGTAGGTAGGAGACGAGGGTACCAGGGTACGGGGCGATTTGATTGGTGGAGAGCGGCCGCCGCCGATTGGCCCGCCAAAAACGACCGGGTGCTTGTTTTCCACACACGCGACAGGGAGTTGGAGCGTTTGGTGCAGGAAGAGGCAAGTCGCACGGAAGAAGAGCAGGACAGAGGACGGGTAGTCGAACAAGAGGTGTGCAGCTTGCGGGAGGAGCTCAAGAAAGCGGAACAGGAATGGAAAGAGTGAGTCTGCCGAGCTGTCGCTCGTCTTTTGCAAGGTTCGAAAGGATGGCTCCGTGTGTGTGTGCTCATGGTTCACGTACCTCCCCCCCCCTCTCCCCACAAATGGCTGGAGCCAGCTCGGCGCGAAACGAGGAACTATCATCTGTCTCGAAAAGGACGAGTTGCGTACGGTCCAAAAGGCTTAGGCAACTTTATCTAGCTGAGCCGAGTCCTTTGCTCGTCATGGTTGTAGCTAAATTCCCAAATACTGCTGTGCTTCATAGATCGGGTGTTTCCTGGCACTACGCTACCTCAATGTAACCCCCCCCCCCGCCGCCTTTGCTGCTTGTTTACCCCCTCACATATACTCGGAAGGCGCGTGGATGCAGCGGTGCAGGAGAAAGAGTCGGCGCTGTCGGAGTCTTCGCGCGAAGCGTCTCAGTCGGCGACCAAGGCGCGGGAGCGTATCTCTAGGCTGGAAGCGGAGCACTCCCTGGCCCTCAGAGAGAACGGAAAGTCCTCGGTGCGGCAGAGGGCTCTCGAACGCGAGCTAGCTCGAATCAAGAGCAGGTACTGACACGTATGGCCGTGTTTGTCTTAGAGGCTGTTGATAGCAGCAACCCGAGGTTGGAAAAACGCTGGGTGACGGGGTTGTTAAACAAGAATCGATCGTGGCAGTATACTGTTCAACACCTGCGTACGGGAGGGTCGTATCGTCGCCGGCCTTGTTGTCTTGCGGCTGTTGGCAGCAGCAATCCGTGGCGGGGAGAAAACGCTTGTTGACTGGTTGTTCAACAAGCATAGCAGCTATCCGAGGGTAGAACACGCTTGGTGACGGGTTGTTAACAAAGTGGCGAAGGTTCAACACCTGTGTACCGGTGGATCGTACAGTATCGTGTTTGTCTTGCGGCTATTGATAGCAGCAACCCGAGGATAGAAATCTTTGGGCGACGGGTGATTAAACAAGAATCGATGGTGAAGATGACCGAACAGAAGCAACTTCATTCGAGGTACATGTTCATTCTTTGCTGCTCGGGCCCTCGTCCGTTCAGTCGCACGTGGTGCTGAACCCCGGCCAGGCTAACCTCTCGCCCTCTTCTTTATTGTGGCTCTTTTTTCAGCATGCAGGCCGAAGCCACGCTTGAGAAGGAGGCCCTCGAGGAGCGGGTGCGCACGGGGGAGTTAAAGCTCGCCACCGCTAGGCGAGAGCGAAACGCACTGTTAGCCGCCCTGCGAGACCTTCAGGGGCGGAGACGGTCCGGATCTGATCGTCCCCTGTCCCCCATCGCGCCGTCGGACTTGGAAACCCAGCATGGAGGGGGGGGCATGGCGATACAGGAGCTCGACGATGCTGCGGACTTTGGCAGTGCCGTTACTGGTGGCAGGAGCGTTGGTCGTCGTGGTGGTAGGGCTGTTGGGGGGGAGGCGGAGGTTCGCGGACAATCGCAGGCAGCAGCACAGGTTGTTACCGCTCTGGGCAGCAGAGTCGAGGTCACCCGACAACAGGCTCGGCCTCCTGAGTTTGTAGAATCGAGGGCATCGGGAGGGTTTAAAGAAGGGGATGGTGCGATAGACTCGGGAGAACGGGGGATGGGGGGGTCGAAGGGTATGGGTAGTCCAGGAGCGCCCGCGGGTGAAGGTGGTGGGAGAGCAGCATCATTGTCGGCGCGATTGGAGGCGCTTGCGCTTCAGACACAGCAGCTGTTGGAGGATGGTACCGATAGTAGTGATGACTCCGGGTGAACTGGGAGGTAATCGTCCCATTCTTGCCGGGTGTGGGCCTCCAAAGTGTAACTGGCCGGCTCCCGTAATTCGGCTTTGCAGTTTGATGGGTTGTTTGCGCAGACCTCTGCGATAGGCTCAAATGAAACCCTTCTGTGGGTATCTATCTCGTGACGGACAGGTCGTGATTTTCTTGCTCAAGATTGTATATCAAGTGCCGTCAGAGATTGTTTTGTACGCATGTCGTGGCGCCGGAAAGTGAGGGCGTGCTTGTTGTTGGTGTTCCATTCGTTGAGTGTTGTAGGGGGTGTTGTAGAATTTCTTGGATTGATCGCGTGGCGCAAGTATAACTCCAACCGTGGCATTGTGGAGAGGTTAACGTAGGCAGTACAGGGCATGTGTCGCATGTTCGTTTGTGCGCAGTGCGCGCAAATGCTGTATAAATGTGTACAATGCGTTTTACGAAGTCATTGCCCAGCTTTACATTTTTTTTTTGTTCCAGTTTTTGAAACCCTACTGCAATGTTTTGTAGACTATGATATCCGTTCTTTGCTTTTGGTTGGAAAACAGGCCGGAAAACATTCACATCTCCTAAAAGGAAAATACTAGCCGGTAGAGTAAGATATCTCGTTCCCGAACACGTACTCGAAAAACGTATCGGACGTAGCAAGCCCCCGACACCAATATCAACCTCGTTGCGAATTGGGCTTGAGTATAGCCGAGGCCACCACTTTCAGCCTCACAAAGAAATAATTTTCCTGTTGTATTTTGCTCTTGGCCTAGGATCATTTACTGTAAGTATTGGATTTTTGGGATGAGGCCTCCAGCTCCGGCCCGTGGTCCCACACATACTTTCCTAGCCATGTGTTGTCCTTGACCACTGGCCTGGAGCCTGGTTGATTCACCCAAACTTTCGTGTATTCCGGTACGTGGATAATTACGACGGCTTTTACGGCGTGGTCTCCGTCAGGTAAGCAGTAAGCACCTCTCTACAAATACTAGAAACCTCCATATCGGACGTTGGGTTACCCCGAAGAGAGGAACTGTTGTGTTTGAATATGCCTCAGAAGAAAAGGGCGAGCTACAATACGGTGGAGCGGATTTATGTGAAGCCATCATGAACAACCACAGAGAAATCGTCGAAGCGGTGTGCAGATCTCCTCTGCCGCACGCCTTCGGGTTTCTACAGAGGCCAGGAAGCATGTCACCGCTCGGATTTTTTTTTTGCGAGGCAGAGCATGTTGCTGTGGGGGGCTCACCGCACAACAATCCTGCATGAAGACATGCCTACTGAAGGTAGGGAAATGCATGCCCGGTAACAGCTGAAGTTGTGCTGACAACGACATGCATCAATGCTGGGAGACCGCTCTCTCTCTGTCTCTTGCCTCTCTGTCTCTGGCGCGCTCTATCGCTGTTGCTGATTTCAAGATTTTCTTGCCACAAAGGATACCCGTCCCGCAATCTTTTACATCGACCCCCGTACGCTCACCTGATGCCTTCCCCGCCCAGAAACAAGCATCGATCGTGAGGGTGACAGTCCCAAGGCGGATCGGGAGGGTGGACGTCGATCGAAGAATGACACCTCCGTGCCATTCGATCCCACGAAAGACTCCCTAGTGGTAGACGAAGATACAGGAAGCGGCGCAATATCCACGCGTTCTAGGCGCCACAGCAGTAGCGGCCGTCGACGTAGCAGTGGTGGTGGCAGCAGTGCAGGAGATGACACTCCCCGAAAGAAGAGCTCTGACGCCGCTGCTGACCGTCCCAGCTTAGAAGGTATCTTCAATGATAGCGAAGATGGCTCGAGTAGCGACATTTTCGATGTTGGCGCCGGGACAGCCTCCCCGTCGCCGCGGCGGGATAGTGGCGGTGGCCGGCGGCGCTCGTCAAATTCGGCCGATGTGCTGAACGCCCGACGGCCGTCGTCCGGGCCACAGAGCGGCGAGCGGTCACCCAGGCGAAAATCCGCTGCTGGGGAACGGCGTCGATCGAGCAGCAAGCGGCCGCGAAGGGATCCATCGCCGCGGCGTGGGCGGCGGGCGGGGGGCGCATCCGGGCCTGCTTCCCTCAGTCAGACGCAGCACGCGGCGAGATCGCTCTCTGCAATGGGCCTGAGCGGATCCGGATCTACAAAACCCAGGACGAGAGCGGAGGTCAAAGAGCAGGGAAGGGTGCGAGAGTGGGCGAGTTTTTGCAGGCGCAAGACGTATCTTTCTCTGGAGGATCTTTCTCTGGAGGAGCGGCCACGGGTTGCAAGGAAGGGCGCTGTCACGCCGTTTTCTCTCCAACTTATGAGGGTGAACTTCTAAAGCAGTGGTATCATGTACACATAAAAACCAAAGTAAATAAGCAAACTTTCCCGTGGCTATGCCTAATAGGGGTTGCAGCTTGCGCGTTTTTCAGCAGTGCAGTCCAGTGTCGTCGAAGAACAAAGTGCCGAGTTGAGCTGCACGTGCAGTTAAGCAGGATGGCACCTCCCGACAAAGGCTTGGAACAACACTGCTTATGGTCCACTATACTCAGATATGCCTGTGGATAGAACGCTCTAACCGTTGAGGAAAAAGCACCAGCTGCAAACAGTGTGTCTCTCACACGTGTGGCGCTCGTTTCTAAGCCAAGCATCCCGCATGTACATAACATATCGTGGTCGTAATTTTTTGCGGCTGCCGCACACCGAACTGCAGGTGGAGGGCTGGCGAGTGCCTTCAGTCTTGGTCGACCGTGCTAGCGCCGCCGGCCATGGACTGCGGTTCTCTGTGAGCGTGAGCTTCTACCATGCTGGATCGAAACGGTTCTACGGGGACACGTTCATGGGAGAGCTCTTGGATGAGGAGGACGAAGAGCGCGTGGAAGTGGTGTCGGAAAGACGCCAAAGCACTTTTTCTTCGGGGATGAAAGGGAGATCTCGCAAGGTGAAGGATGCCACATAACCCGGTTAGGTAGCTCCACTGTTTTACTCTTGTGTGGAAACAGCTTATCAGCTGTAGACCAGCAGAACGTCACTGTACCTCGCATACAAGGGAGCTTTCTTCCAACAGCGGTGGGTTTAAAGTACCGTCTTGCTGCTCTCGAGTTTTCGACAGCGTTGACATGGAGGGCCTCTGCTCACCGCTGCTTTCTCCACCTCTGTCTCCGCATGCTGAAACTTCCAACGGTCAGCAACGGGGCCGCTCGAAACCGAAAAACAACCGGAGCAAGAACAACAGCAGCAGTCGACGTCAGGGACGGGGCGGGGATACAAACGATGACGATTCGGACGACCGCGACGACGACGACGAGGATCAGGAGATGGAGGTTGCCACGAGGCACGAAGAGCTGCTGTACTGGTACACCGGCTTCGAAGACCCCAACTGCATTGCTGTCGTCGAGCTGGTGGCCACGGTTATGGACACGGAGAACGGTGTACAGGTTCGTCCGTTGATTAATGATATGCGTTCACTTGCATGGCATTCACGGCAGCTGAGCTATGGGGTAATGATGAACGCCCATTGCAGATTCAGTGCCTGTGAAGGACATGGAAACCTGAAGGGGTCAAGTAGTGGCTCAGTAGGTCTTGGCCAATCGCCAAAAGTTGGTGATTCTATCACGGCGCCAAGGATGCGGAGATATTGCGTTGCACGCAGCCTCTTTCACACACCGGGCTGTACCGCTTAGCAGCGCAACTCACGATCTTTGTACATCCTCATCTACCGTGCGACCTGTGCGTGCTTTGCCGGATTGTCCAGGAGGGGCAGTACGGGTGCGGTTGGACGTTTATCCAGTTCTTTGGACCGAACGAGCCGGAGGCGGTACAGCATAGAGATGTCTACCACGGGTCCCCGCGAAACCTGCTGTTTTTCGAGCAGGTGTGCATCTCCTTCGCAAATATCGTCACATGTTTCTGGACCAAAAAGAAAATGTACGCGTCCAACATGACTTACACATGAACACCGCCTTGCTGTTTCTGCCAACGTGGCATGATTCAAAGGACTACACAACGCAGCAGCAGTCACTCCACGTTCTTTATTCCGCAAGGAGCACAGCCAACCTTCCTGTACCACGATGAATGAATGACAGGGCGACTGGGGAAGCGTTGGGGAGACCGTTATCCCCGGATGTTCCCTCTGGTTCACCCTGTCGGTGTGGGAAGGTCTGCTGAAGGCGAGACACCTGTTTCGCCCTGACGAGATCGTGTCAGCGGTCGATGTCCTCCCAGGCACCCAGGCACGTGATATTTCAACTGTGATGCATAGCGAATTTCCGTTTCCTCAGAATACCGGCGAAAAACATGCGTACCATTGTTGTGCGTGCACACGATGGCGGGAAGATAGGCCGAGTCGACGCACCCTCACCACTTTCGACATATCTGATCACCAGTCGAGTCACGTTCGCCTTACGTACGGATTATTCACTACACACAATCAGTGACGGTGTCGTACAATTCATCATGAACGTGCCTCACAAACTCCTTTCTTACACCGCAACCATAAAGCAATTCGTAAATCCCAAGTCGCTACTGCAACTAGCTCAAAGGCCTCCTTTCCCTTCTTACCAGCAACGCTTTCATGATATCACCGTTCTATCTTCCTGTGCCTCCCCAGACTAAACAAATCACCGTGCCGGGCAAGCCCGCCAAGTTCGGCCCTTTCTTGGGCCTCAAGATCGACGAAGTTTCAAAGGCCCCGTCACGACGACGCCGAGGAGGTGCGGGCGCTTCTAGAGAGGGGATGGCCTGGAACATGTCTCCGGTCCGGCCTCGCCTCGCTGCATCCTTCGAGTTCCGCCTCTCGGCGCTACAGGTCATCATTCCAGGGCGGCAGGGCTACGAGCGAGACTTGCTCAAGCACCTTGGAGAAGACGTCCCAGACCAGGTGTGTGCGTGGCACAACAACACCGTAGGCATTTGTGCAATTTTGGTTAACTCTTTTTACATCTGTCGCAACCTGGCAGATGAAGAAGCCACGGTAACACATCCAGGTTCCTTGTGGTCTGTCGGCTTTCTCTTGGCTGTGTCGCTTGTCCATGAGATGCCCCCATGGGCGAGCGACGTCTGAGACCCACTTTCTCAAAATGATCAACACCAACACCAACACCACCACCACCACCACCACCAACACCACCAACAACAACAGCAAACATAATTTCAGCAGCGGGAGTAGATGCGTGGACCCTCCCAGTCCGACAGAAACACGCCCGGGCTTGAACCCCCCATCCCACCCCCCCATTGGGGGGCACTTGGACATAATTCAGTGCGTTATTGAAGCAAATGGCGCAACGGATTCGATTCTGGAGGTTATATATGAGTTTACTTTCTTAACTTGGGGCTCCTAAACATCCAACGAGGCCGACAACTTTGTTCCTCAATAATGCCGGTGGTCTGTTCCTCGTGAAAAGTAGGAATTGGACGAGAGCGTCTTGGGATAGGAATCAAGCGTGGGTGTTGGGGGCGGGATTCAAGCCTTTCGATAGTGAGTGCAACCGTCACGGACGACATGAAGCTATTCACCAGCTAAGTTGTTGTTTTCCACGATGTGGTGAATAGGTGATGATGATGGTTCCATGTCTACCGAGTCCGACGGCAAGAGGTTAGAAGAGGAGGGGGTTCCGAGAAGGCGAATCTCTTTTTCAACCAAAATGTGCATCGCGGTAGGGTATTGTACGGGAAGATACGCCCGGATAGGCCGAACGCGCGTTACACACCGGACGACAAATGACATTCAGAAGCCAAAACGATTGAGGGTTGAAAAATGCCTTTTGGGAGAGCCAACAACTTGAATACTTTAAATGCCGACCCTTTGCGTGCCCGAGCGCCTCTCTGACACCTAACCTCATTAACCAACACGAAACGAGAAAACACAAATATTACCGCGCCCACGTCGTTGCCCGCGTTCGCAGGAAATTGTGAAGACCACGACGCACCAGCACACCCTGGGATTCTCCACCACACAGCGAGAAGTTGTGACGCCTTCGTCAGGAGGAGGGGGGAGCGGGAGGGGCGAAGGGAGGGGCGGGGGTGGCGGGAATAGGGCCAAGATAGTGGATAGGCGGGCGAAAATCGGGTTCCACAACGGGCACACCCTGGTTCTGCCGCATGAGGTCAGTTTAGCTTCTTGTTACTTGGTTCCTAAACGGGACATGGAGTGATGGAGGTGAAACCCCACTGGAAAGCAAACGAGATGTTTCTCCGTCGTTTTTCAAAGGGTCCACGGTGTGCTTTAGGAACAAGAGTACGACAGTTTCCCTCGTCTCTTGGCTCCTGCCGACATCATCCCTTTTCGAACAAAGCTGATGACGGTTGAAGTATTCGGGCGAGAGGTGTCATCACGCCGGCGCAAGGAGGGGCCATCTGGTTGGCGTCATGGGCCCGGCAACCCAACATGCCCGGTTTCGCGCCACTATACTGACGCCATGCCTGAGTGTAGCCAGACGTCTGAATAGTACGCGTGGACTAGACATGGGACTCTCGCTACCTCTACCTCCTTTCGCTACCTGTTGTCGCAGTATTCACAAGAACGCATCGCGGGAGAATCACTCCCAACCTATTCAATTTGTATTAACCGGATACAGTCGTTGTGTGCTGTGTCCGAACAGTGGGTGGAGAGTCACCTGGAGGAGACGAACGAGACTGACGTGCTCATGCTACCGGAGGAGGTGTCCTCTCTAAGCGTCGATGGCTATGTGCCCCACCCGCTCTTCGCGCTCGTCGTCCTCATCGAGTACACCATCAGGTACAAGAAGACTTACCCTAGACCGTGGCATTTCCTACACACGAACTCTTCCCTTACATCGCACACCGTGCGTGTTTTCTTGCCCCTAAAAGAGCTGACGGAAAATGCTCTTTGCCGTTTTCGCTGTCATTGAGGATACACCCCGTTACACAAGTACAACACCCAACCGCCCCGAAACGCACTAGTTTGATCGAAACATTGGTTTTGTCGACGATCCATGGGTGGATGGATACCGGCGGCTTCTATCGACCTTGTCCGTGGGCGTGTTTGACGGCCATCCGAACAGGGTATTTCAGCACCTCAACTCAGCATTGTCGCCTTGAGCTACTACGCATTCGTGCACTTTCCCCAACAACATCGGAGAATGTCGAGGGTTGCAGGCTAGACTCGTTTTGCAGCGTGCATCTTGTCGATTAGCTCCTGTGCGGTCCGTGGGCTACCTATCCCACGAGGTGCGAACGCTAGTGCCATCTACAGTGATACCTGATTCTCGCCGCCGTCCCGACCGCGGCGCAATTTGTTTTGCCTGTGCCCTCCAACCCCCCCTTCAACGCAGGACGAGGCCCAAGGCCGCGGGTGGCGGGCGAGGCGGAGGGGGTGGGGGTAGGGCCAGGAAGGGGGACCCCCTGGCGCAGGCACAGGCAGAGCTCAGTCATGCCGCCTTGCCCGTGGTCGTGGGAATGCAGGTGCAGAGAGGCTGCGCTGCTTTGGCCCGACGTCTCTTGTGGGTATACTCGGCTTCAACTGTCTGCATCTAACAACAAGTGGTCACTCTGTGAGGTGCTTATTGTTGTAAGGAAGCATATGCGTGGTCGATTCACTCCTTCTCAAGCGTATCTTCCTTTGCCTGCTTTCATCCTACAAGGTCTTCCTCCCGCACGATGGCAAGAGGCTTCGGCTCCGGAACACCCCTCGTGGCGAAGAGAATATGGACATCAGTCTGAGGCTCGCTGCCGACAAGAAAGTCCGCCTAGTCACCACGGAGCTGGTGAGCTCATGTTGAGCCATGCGGGGCATCTTGGAAGAACGAAGCACGAGCTAGCCGCTACCGAAAAATCAAGCAGGGGTGTGCCTACGACCAGACCGAATATACCAAGCCCATCGAAAACATGATTGCCATTAAAATGACATGGGACCTGGAACGAGATTCTCGCGTTATTCTCCATCTACCAGTACAGGCTGCAGCAAGGAAAGAATGCCGCGGTAACGCCCGCCCCTTCAATAGGGGCTGATGGCGATTATCAAATCGGGCAATGTGTCAAACGACCCACTGTGCTTTCTCTTCTGCTGCAGGTTTACACCAACAAGAACCACCTCCTGGATGAGGCGCACGGCGGCGCCAGCGACGGCGAGGACGGGCGAGGTCCGAAGATGGTCTATTTCGACCTCAAGGTAGGACGTGGAACAGACCGTCCAAGTGATCGCCACCTTGTTGTTGCGGACATACATGGGTCGTCTTCACTGTTTGATCACTGACCGGTCGAATCGCATTTTCTTGCCTCAACTTGACCTTGAAAATCACAGGCACGCACAGCAGGGGGGAGGCGGGACAATAGCACAAAAAAATAGAGTTCCTGTGTTACCTTCCACCCGTGTGTGACCCATCTGATACGTCAACATACTGCCACGACGTGTATTCTGGCGCTAGAACAGATGGGAAGGAATCAAACAAACAATCATCAACAGGTTTCCCAGCCAAGCTGTTCCCTCGGTGCCCATGGTTCCGTCGTCACCGCAGTCCTCTCTCTGAACTACACAATACAAGCACATGGCGTACGCGAAGAGAAAAAAAATTCGAGATCCTCTAGACTATTGGTTTCGTCGCCTCGCCGCACGTGCGGCCTTGGTAGGGGAAATTTCGGCATTGCTTCGTGGCACAGCTGGCTACTTTGATATTAGTCCGGCTCTTTCCGAACAAGCAATGAGCATTTTATGAAAAACTGCTCCTCTCGAGTGAATCATGGAAAGTCCAAACAGCCCCGACAAGCGGTACTTGCTGTACTTGGCCGGTTGGGACCCGAAACATTACGACTCGATTCAGATTCGCAGTAGTTGATCTCGCCCAGACCAACAGTCGCCTGGCATTTCCGATCGTGCACCTGGCTTTTGACCGGACGTAGGCGTTTGACTCCCATGGGAAGAGACTACAAGACGAAACGCCCGCCAGCGCTGATGAAAGCCCGCTCGAAGCTGACTGGGGACCACCGAAGCAAGAAGCGGTAGAGAGCAGGTAAGCGTGTGTGCGGGCGTTCAAAGGCCATCGATATGATGCCGACGAAACTCCATCGTCTCTCTCGGTTTGTTTTCTTCGTGGAGGAACTTGATAAATGATGCATCCCCCGTTGCGGATCGCCCGGGCGGGTGCCACGGTGATGTTATAGCAACCGTCGCGTCCAAAATCGTTTGACTCCTGCCACCCGACAACCTCTTCACATGATTCTTCACTGGCCACAGTTGTAGGACGAGAAATGGAAAAATGCCCAACACTGACCGGGTCAAACGAGTACACTTGGGGGATTATGTGTGGCGTCCTAAAGAAGAAAGAACCACTGGCGGTGGTGCCCCGTACATACAGTATATTTAAGCAAAGAACACTTGGAATGACGTTGGATGTAGCTCGGTCAGTCTTTTAGTTGTCACTCCTTTCTGATAAATCGTCGCGCAGACTGACATCTAAGGCTTGACAATTGGTGTGGAGTTAGCCCCCCCCCCCTGCACCGATTTTCAAAGGCGACTTATATACCTGCAGCGAAGGGGGTTTCAATGCCAAACGTTACGTGTGAGGAGATTTCTCGAGGAGATGGTCCCAACACCACCCTTATCGGCGCGAACACGTACCTTTCCTGCCGACATTCTATGTAGTATCTCTATCGGATGGCTTGAGCGGTTGTTGAAGCATAGCAAAGGCTTATCAGTAGCAAAAACACAGGGTCCTTCCAACTTCTGCGGACAGGAGCATCTACTTACTTCACGGACACACGTACTCAAACCCCACCGCCCGTTTTGCTCTCCCTTCAATGAATCCTGTATCCATGCTTTTCGATGTGGTGTACGGCCATTCAACCCCTTCTGATGACCACTTTTAATGGGGAATTCCCAATACGATAAACGTCCACGTTTCCAGCAACGGGACTGCTTCGTCGAGCGTAGAAAGCACCAGCAGCAGCTCTGAATCGTCCACGGAAAGCTCTTCCTCTTCCTCTTCCTCTTCCTCGAGTCAGAGCGAAACCCCGGCGCCAAAGACGCGGAAACCGACACCTCCTACAAGACGGAAGAAGCCGGCTAAGGTATGGCATGGTAGGGATGGAATACAATGCCTCGAGTCTTATCCAACCGCAGGCCGTCGCGTGTTTTGCCACAAAATCTTTAAGCTTGCGATGATCTCCAAGGGAATTCCACGACAAGGTGACAGCCCGCTCACACGAATCAAGTCCTCTTACATCCTCACAAACAGAAAATGTCACATATGGATCCATTGTTCGAATTTTAAAGTCGCCGTGTCCGTACTCTACGGTTGTTCTTGGCTTGCCGCTGAAGTGGAAGAGTTCCTTCACGCCCGATTACTCCAGGGCGGATCGCCGAAACTTCGTTCTTTCTCTAGCCGGGGTCAATCGTTTCGGCGCCATCATCCCATTTCCTCAGTTGCAAGGGCCTACCCCGTCGTTGGAACACCGGTTGCGGAAATGCGATCGATTGACTCCTGTGCAAACCATCCCATCGATATGCTGAACGAGCGAAATTCACGGCGCTCATCTCACTCTCGCTCTTGCCGAACAAGTCATTCCCGCTTGAAACGCTTCGAAACTCTGACGTAACAACAACCATAATGCAACACTACAGGTCAAGCGCAAGCGGCCCCCTCAGCAAGATTCCAGCAGCGACGACTCCGACAGCGTAACCTCTTCCCTCGTGAAAGGAGACAGTGACTCTAGCTTTCTGCGACGGCGCCCCAAGAAGAGGAACGCGCACGTTCAGGCCACGGATAAGGGCTGGGACGCCTGGAGAAACAGCATCAAGGTACAGTTTTCGTTGTTGTTGATGATGATGCCGGTTACTTGTAAATGGTCGGCAAGAAGTTCAACACGACCATCGTCTTTAGAGGAGAGGCATCCCAATGCTTTCTTTTCAGAATAGACGTGTACGGCCAGTGACGATTATCCCTGGACGTTGCCGGCCTTGGCTACCACACTGTTGCGCCGGCGATGTATGCTGACCGTACGCCTCTTTTCTATGACGAATTGCGTTCTCCACTTGCCCGCACACCCAAACTTCCTCGTTCGTTCACGAGCAGGTGCCCCGACGCAGCGAGTCATTGATGGGTCAAACGCTGCAGGCGCCACTACACGTCGAAGCATCCGCTCAGACGGCCGTGATACCGGACCACGAGCCCGGATTGGGTTTCAGCGGACCGCCGGCAGTGACGGTGGGGGGGTTCGCGCCGCTCCCGCAAGGGCTTTCGAGAGCAAGTCGAACCAGGTTCGCAATAGTCTTTTCGCTAGCGAGGAACGGTTTTTTTACAAGCCTGTGTCGTGGTTGGGTTCCAAGCCTCCACGTTGATCGTTCGTCTCTTCACACACAATGGATGGGTTGGCGGCAAACCTACTTTGCGAGTCTGGCGTCGTAAATTCTTCTGTACCTTTTTTCGACCGGCATACTTTTTCTCCGTGCCTTTGGCAGGTTGAGTCGGCACGGCTTCACCGATGTCATGAAGGACACGGTAGACTCCTTTGCGCAAACGTCGGGCTTCGACCCCCTTCGCCGCCAGAATATTCCGATCGACCTCGACCTAGAAGTCACCGACCCCCTGGCCAAGCACGAGGTCACTCTTCAGTTCGCCGCTTTCAGAGGACTTTCAAGCGGAGGCAGCGGCGGTGACCGCACCGACAACAGCAGCCACCGAAGTGTCGGGGGTGGCGCGGATGTCTGGCACGAGGGAGGCGGGGATATGGTGTCGTCAATGCCGACGTCGCTATACTTCACGTATCAGTTCTACACGTGCCTTCCGACGAGGACGGAGCGGATGTTGCTAAGGCCGGATGGGCCCAAGGATAGACTATACCAGGTACGAATATATATGTTATACAACAAGGGTTTGCTTCACTCGTTGCGGCCCAATTGTTGGTGTTGCTTGGGACAAAATCATCGACCTATTGATGCTTGATTGTTACGACACCCCTTTCATTCCATTGCCCACTGTTTTCACTCACTTCATATCATGACTACCGCTTCAAACTCAAGTGTGGTCTTCGTTGGGGGCTATTGTGCCCAAGAATAATGTAGAGCTTCTTCAGACGTTTATTCAATGTCACCGAATACGATGCTTAACCAAGTCGTGCGCGCGATTCATTCGCTGCGGTTTGTGCTCGGGGCACGCTTCAGGCGGAAGGCGGGGGGGTGTCTCGGCTGAGCATCCTGGTGAGGGACGGTCGCTACGGGAGGGACGAACCTTCTCTGGGGCTGCGGCACAGCATCGATACAACCATGATGCAGGTGGGACAATGATCAGTTGGGTCAGGTGACACCTATGGCGACGTAAACACCACTAACGTTCTGTCTCGCTTAGGCAGCCTACATCCACTCTGTGTGTCATGCCATGGCGGTAGCAGGAACCTTTGTACGGTGGGACGTCCCATATCTAGACGAGGATGAGATCAGGGCGTGGGTTGCATCGTTGGATTGACGTTTTCGGGGGCAAATGACACACTCTTGCGTGTGTCAACGGATTCGAGTTTTTCCGTGGAGGTCGTTATTTCCATGGTTTTTTTAGATGCCCCACTTCCACAATTGAAATAGGCCTTGGAGTTTGCAAAAGCGTCTCTGCACACCCCGCGACGAGTGGACTATCCGCTAAGCCTCTGGCGAGTGCTGGGCACTGGGCAACTTCGTGCTCTACTGGTTAAGTACACAAGATCGACAAGACGTGTAGAATTCGTTTACTCATTGTCTTCCAAGGCTCAACCGATCTCCCTTCTCCAGGTAACCGTTGCCCACGCCATATTTCGGTACGTGTTTTTGTACGCTTTTCCGTGCGACGTGGCTGGCAGCCTTTTGAGGCCCACGCCTTCGCGACCTACATGGCCGGCAGCACCTTGTTCGTGGACGTTTGGGATGCGGACGCACTCATGCACATAGGGACTCTTGCGATGCCTCTCCGGGAACTCATGCGGCAGCAGAAAGGGGTAGTGAAGACGGCAATGGTGAGCAAAATAATCAGGGAACGTTTCAGCAATGAGCGTCGTGAATATTAGATCTGTTGCAACATCGATGATCGGCATGGAACATAGGGAGAGTTCGCTCTCACTAAAGTACATCCGATGTCCTTGGAGTCCTGTTTGTCAAGTTTCCTAGGACATTTTCACAAGGTTGAATGGTACTCGTCGGACTCCTTCACTAGTGTCGACATCAGAGTAGGCGCTTCACCCCTTCTCCTCGGAACTCCTCACTTGATAAGCACTATTCAGGGTCAAAATGAAGCACAGTATTGTGTGAAATAGTATATTTGGGGGAGGGTATCGACGTCGGTTCATTTTTCTTCCCTCAATAGGGCTTCGTGTCTCCAGCATCATTAGTCTATGTTCTTGTTTGCCACCCCTTCTTATTGAGAGGCTTTGGTCCTCATCATCGAGTGAAATGAACAGATTGCATTCATCCGGTGTCGATCCGGCATGAGACGACATTATTGAGTGAAATTCCAGAGTCCACCGAATGAACAGAGTCCACCGATCAGAAGTTGATCTGCCACAGAACTATAGAATTCACTTTTGTCACATGATGTAGTGTCCACAACCAACCTCCGTTTTCACGACGTCTAACCGTACGCCTCACATGAGTAACAGCTGACTACCCATGTTCGAATGCTTGGCTTCGTATTTCATACCAGATAGAGTGAATACTCACAAGTTTCTGGCAAGTGTTTACACGGTTCCATTCGAACACAGGAGTGAAATTACCATTTTGTTCTTGTTTCTTTTGTTTCATAAGGACGGATTGTGAATATTTCACTTACAGCTGAATCCACCCGGGATTTGTTCGGGACCTCTTATTCCGTTTTACTCCAACCACCACACACTATTTCAGGAGCCACAACCCAGCCCCAAACAAAGTGTGAGCAATCCAGATTTACCGAATGAATATTGGTACACACACCGTCCACCGTTCCTGTTGGTCTGTATATAATTCCCAGGAGTACGAGATAGTGGCTAGTACCGCCGCCGCGGACAATAGCGGGAGCGGGAGTGGCGTGGCTGTGAAGCACGGGGCTGTGGGGAAAGGTCCTGTTGTAGGGCTGATCCAGGTGAGTCAGTGTAGGCCGTCGACAGCTTATGGAACACATTCCTCGACGATTCCCTGAGAACGTGAGAGCCCTAAACTTGACTTGAAAGAACAAAAGAGTGAAAATCTGTTGATATTTCGCGTGGACGGATGTGTTGTATTGCACGCAGTAGAGTGAGACATATTGCCTGAGAATTGCCTTTTCCCTGTTTGTTTGTCGATGGCAACGCATTGTGATTTGTGAGAGTCCCATACATCATTTTAGAAATCACGTGTAGTTGATCCTGTGCGGCACTCTTGATCGCTGGTTCGCCGAGCTATCTCTCATAGAGCTGCCATGCAGCTGCTTGAGCACCAATTTCATGCCTCCGTACATTCTCCAGTTTTCCTTTGGGCGCCACTTCATGCCGAGATTTATCCCAAATTAGTGGTGAAGGTACACCTCGTTCATGAGGGCGGAGTCTCAGGTGTCGTTAATGTTAACATGTTTCGTCATGGCTGTGAACTACAGTACAGCCTGCCTCACTCGAAACAGTCTCGGGAATCTGAGGTTTTTTCTTGTGAAACTGGCCGGGCGGAAGGCACACAGGCACGAGCGTGTTCGTAACAACAGCCACAGGCTGCACACTGCACGGTCCAGTTTGGAGGTTCCTTCGAGACCTCTGACCTCTTGATCAAGAAATTGAAACACGGCTGTGCATGTCTGCCCTGGCGAAAATATCACTGCTGCTAGCAGATCCTCGCCAGCAACTATGGCGAGCCTGGCAAGGGGGGCGATCTCCCCGCTTCGGGCGCTGTTCCTGGGACCGTGCGCCCCATGCTCTCGGGCTCAAACATTAGCGGTGATTGGCGGATGGCATCGGCAACTGTGGGAGGCGCGCAAGGGTCGGGACATCGTGGAACACGGCCTCGGCATAAGGTCTTGTTTGACAACAAGTAGTCACGATATTCACAAATGTAATGTCGGTTTTCAAGGAACTCCTACTTGTTGATCGCTCATAACTCGCTATATTCTGCATCATGTCGACACGCGTGTACATACTGTAGATAAATATCCAACATTGGGGTTGACGAGTCGACCGAATCGATGTCTTCAGCTCAAAACTGATACAGAAAGCATTTACGATTACCAAGGTACAGCTTTGGCCCGATTCAAAACCGAGTAGACCGAACCTGTCTTAGGCAGACATTTCGCTATGTTTCAGATGTTACCTTAACGCGTGACGAATCTGGTGTCCTATCTGCTACCCTTGAATCATTGTCAAGGTACGAGCACGTCCCCTCGCGGACACGAATCCGGAGATTTTGAAGTACATGGAGGCTGTTTCTGGCCCTAGTTCCGGCGGCGGAATGGCCATTTCAAGCCTGGGGCGGAGAGGAAGGGGCGACCCTGACGCCGACAGCATGGGATATGATGAGGTGGGTGGGTTCTGTGTCATCCAGATTTCCGCCCTAAAGCAGCATTACCAGAAGAGGGAGTGTGGTTTTCTTCTGGGATCCCTGGGGGACAGACAACACGGAGGTTCATGGAGTACAGAAGCGTCGTACAGGCGCTGGAGTGAAACCAAACACAGCCAATAACCTGCTCTAAGTCGACGCAGGCAGCACAAGCCTCCCAGTTTTAAGGGCAGAGTGATGTTCATTTTACGATGGACATTGACGTAGCAGTTGAGTTGATTTGATATCACGTGGAATACTGTGTACAAGAAGACGAACGCCCTTACAAAGCGTGCGCCCCGGTGGGTCGTATATTTTCCTGTTTGGTCGGACACTCTTGGGGAATCTCCACCCGCTAAAGCTAATGCTGTTGGTGAGGCGATTCCGAGGATCGGCGAAAGGCAGGGTTTGGTACTCAGGCCCACTGCTCAAACTCCTCGACGTGCCCGGGCGCAAGCAACTGGAGCAGCGGTTGGTGCGAGCTGTAGAACGTTCGGAAAGGTGAGCGCTAGAAGTGAACCTGGATCCTAGGTGTCGAGTCTGCAGTGCCTCTGGTTTGAATACCAACCCAAAACATGGTCTGGTGAACGTTGTATCAAGACTACTTTCCATGGAGCTCGGCCGCTTGGGAAAATGGTGACCCACGCACCAAGTCAAAATGTCTTCTCGTCAGCAACGGCAAGAGAGCCCTCACGAATGCTCCTACATGTGGTGGTATGGACGCATACAACCTTACTTTGGAGTAGAATACGTGGTAGCGGACTCGTTCAGTCGTACCACGTCGTCCTGGCCACATGGTAGTCATCGGGGCGCACACCATCACAGGAGTTGAGACGATGGTTGGTCGGTGACGCTCGGGTGAGGAAATGCGCTCGAGCTCTAGTCGGGTGCGCTAGGGCCGAGCACTGTAACGGATTCGAAGTTCAGGCATGTTTATTGATTGGTATGATGGGCCAGGTATTCTTCTGGCCGGAACTTCTCTTTGCGTCGCTGTCGATGTATACGATGGGCAGAGATGAGTCTCCCGCGCTTGTGCCGGTTCGTTTGCATTGATCCATTAGGTCTGGTCTTGGCTTAGCGGAGGCTTTCCGAGAAATGGATCAGAACAGGACGGGCGAAATCAGGTACGGCAGAACGAGGATGATCGGTCGCTCGTTTGAGTTTTGACGAGATATTTCGATGAACGAGCGGCTGAGGTGATATTTTACCGCAGTCTCTCTACTGGTTACTTTTCAGTGCAGGATTGGCTTGTGCTGACCGTGTCACTTCCGTTGCGGGTTTATGTCGTGTCCACTGATGGCAACAACCCTAGTCCATGCATACGCGGAATCGGAACAAACACAGGTGTAACGGACAACCTCCCAATTGAAGTGGCGGCAAGGACACGGTATTCCAACAATGAACCCGTCCTGGCTGTTGCATCGCGTGCTCGATGAAAAGGGATCAAGGATGTTTAGGGTATCTTTCGTTAGTTTCCCATTCACGATCAAGATGTGAAACGAACACGGAGTGAGTGTCGCGGAACCGTGGACTGAATCGTACATCCGGCCCAATCGTTTGGCACCCCGAAAAACCTGCAGCACACACGAGCTGGAAGAAGTGTTCTGGGGGATGCTTTCGCCCGGAGAGATGGCGAGAGAGCACCTGAGAGCTTTGGTGAAGGGCATGGATCCGGGCGCAACGGGGAAGATTGGGCTTAGAGAATTGGTGACCTTCGTCAGCGCGAGGCAGGGCGGCGGTGGGGTAGGAAAAGCAGCGAAAGCCGCCGAGACGGGCCTGAAAAGGTGCGCTTGCAACGTTTTCAACGACAATCACGCCAAGGTTTGGGTCAGATGGAAAAGCTGTTGCTTTCTTAGGGCCGGATTTTTCATTTTCAAAGTCACAAAAAGATTTAACAGGCAACCAACTTTTACTCCATGACAATTGAGAGAGAATAATGGTGGTAGCATACGACGCCCGATGACGACATTCGAGCATCGGAATTGCAAGCGCTCGGGGCAATCTTACCGTTTTTATGTTTCGACCAGTTCTCGTTCGGAGAACTGCACAGCATTACCGGCGACCAGTCCTACTGTCTCAGGCCTAGGTCCCTTGCGAAAGGACCACCCCTTAAACAATTTTGGAATGCAGTTTTGAAAGAGAACAAGGGGGGCGCGTTGACCGTCTTTCCCCTTCTTCCTGCAAAAAATTCCGATTCCGTGTTGCGTCGTTGGCAGAGCTCTTGCTAGGGCGGAGCTCGGGGGCAGCTCGGTGGAGGAGGCATTTTCCCTTTTGGATAAGAAGGGGACGGATTCCGTCAGCCATGCCGACTTTTGGGAGGTGACTCGGGGTCTAGCAACGCAAACGGTTTAGTATATACGAAATACGATAGAGTACGGTAAGGGTTTGCTGGTCGTGCAGCCATAAAAATTATAGCCGAGTGCGCCAGCAGAGGTCGACAGCCGAACCAGATTCCACGGCACTTTGATGCTTGCTGGCACGCCGCTCTACTGTGTTCCGCCGATAGATGTCAACCCTCGTAGGACCCTGGGTACGAGTAATTTCTACGTTTGGTACCTTACTCGTGCAGTGAAACCGTGCCGGGCCTAGAATATCACCGGATCGTAAAACCCGTACAACACTCAACACTATCACATGTGAATCGGTCACTGGCTCTTACTCCGACTCGACATAGGCCGTTCGCGACTTGGGAGGCGTGCCGGGGTTGGTGAAGTCGGACCTCGACCCCTTACTCCGGCGTCTTGACACGGCCGGCGACGGAAGGGTGTCACTACCTGCTCTCATGCGATGGGCCGAGAGGAAGGTCTTGTCGTCCTCTGCTGTCGAAAACGCGGTAAGCACGTTCGAAAGCGTGCAAGGAAATACCAATAATATGTTTCTTTGCCCGAAGTCTCGAAGACCTGCGGTCATGAAAAGCAACTTGAAAATAGGTGATGGTCGGGGAAAGTAGCCCCGACATCTGACACGGAAGGATGGAAGAGGCAAGGTCGCTTAAGTGGCACGACTAAACTGTGCCTGAGGTAGTTATTGGGAATTCTGCTTGTGTCAAATGCCGAAGAAGACCCGCTAAGTCGCCCGAAACGCGCACGCGGAGCACATAGAACCATCGTGGAAGAAATCGATATCGATCGGGTTTTCATTCTGCCGGTCATTCCATCAAAAATTGAACTACTTCCCCACACGACATGTCGCAATCTTTGTTGACCGCGGGAACTACCGAAAGTCTGACGTTTGAGGCTAATGATGAGTGCTTGCCCTGGACATCGCAGGCCCGAAAGAAGATTTTCAAGGCAGAAGCAGTAGCGTTGAGAGACGGACAGAAAGGCGCGGTCCCGATTGAGGAGGCTTTCGCGGCAGCCGGAGACCTCTGCGACGCCATCAAGGTAAGCGGCGGCATGAGTAACAAAGAGGCAACAAGAAGAGTGAAACTGACTGACGAGCGTTGATCGTTCCGAATCCCCTTCTTCTTGGCTTTTTGGAGACGAAAATAAAAATCAAACACAGCGTTCACTCTTGCTACGCGTTGCTTGAACCTTTTTTGCAGCACTACCGACGTAAGTACGTGGTGGTTGAGCACTCTGCTGCCGAAGTACTGTACGCATCGATCTGCGGAAACGCCCAGATGTGTTGATACATGGGAGTATATTCTTGTTAGACCTTTTTCACCATGTCCCTCCGAATCACTTGGCTCAACTTCGAACCAGGTCCTACGGAACGTGCACCTCACGCCAAGAGAGACGGCGGCCTTGAGCAGGCGGTGCGAAAAAGCCGGGGGAAGAGGAATCGACGTTCCAGCAGCTCTACTGTTCTTTGGTCGCGACGTTCATTTGCAGTCCAAACCATTAGAGGACGTTATTGAGCCCAGCGGTAGCGTTGGGAGTCAGGAGAACAGGGAGAGCCAGGGGGAGACATTGCGAGAGAATCTCCAGCAAGCGGAAGACGAGGAGGAGAGGCTAGCCTCGGAGGTCGAGGTTCGTACGTACGGCAAACACGTAGAATATTTCCATGGTACGAGTCGTTCGTTAGAAACATCTGGCAGCAGATACACAAGAGGAGAACGCTGGTATTTGGAGATGTCGTGAGGACTGAACGCGTGCCAAGAGTGAACTAACAACACGTGACGGCGTTGAGAGTACGATGAGTACGGGTACCTCCCCGTTCCGCAACAGGGACACCTTATTGCCGTGGCTGTACACAACGAAAACGTTCTAACGAAATTTTGGATCTTGTGAACGGGACGAAAAAGCGTGTTCGCCAGAGTAGCGGTCATAGAAAAAAGCGTCTCCGCTTGCGTGATGAAATGTGCAGCACCGGCAACATCAGCGTTGTGATCATTGCTTCATTTCCAAGAAGGCCACTTTGTACGTCAGTTTCGCGCGCTGTTGTACGTCAGTTTCGCGCGCTGATTCAGAAGAATCAGTGCGGAGTGAAGAGCACTGGTGAGAGTCTCCGGTTGATGGAAGCAGGCCTCACTGACCCCAAGTTGAACAGACTACGAAACGCCCGGCGGTAGGGCGTCGACTGCACTTTGTCGACGACCTTGGTGTGCTGAGTGATGCGCTGAATTGCAGCTTCATGATTGTGCCATGTAAAACACCTACTGGACCTCAACCTCCCTCGCATACCGCTCAAATCTCTTTATCAATTCCTAAATTGTGAACTGGTCCAGCGAACGCTGAAAAACATTGTGATGAAAGCGGAGAGCATGGGTACGTCACTCGCTGAAGTGTTCGGGGTTTTCGACAAAGATGGGTCAGGGTTCATCACCGCTGCCGAGCTGGAGGAAGGCCTTCGAGAACTACGGGTGTTCGATGCCGTTCCCAGGGATCAGGTGCATTGGTCTTTCATCAAAGTATGGAACATGGGTATTTCAGCTGACAATAATCTTACCAAGCAGTTGGCAAAGACGTACCACAGCTGCATGGTCTTCTTCCAGGCGACACCACTATTTAATATTGTACTAACAACGAACCCCACAATTCAAGAACGGTGTGCACGTTAGCGTTCGAGGCTTCCCCGGCCGCCTGCCATTTCCAGGACGAACGCCTGCTGTAGCGAAAAATATTTTTGGTCCCGAGGGGCATGCCTCCCGTTCACCGGTGGTGTAGCTGCTCGGCCAGTTGAATATCATTCTATTGGAATTTCTGCCGCTCGGTTCTACCGTTGCACTTCTCGGTGCACCACAGGGACACTCTTGCGAGCAGAGAGGAGTTGGTGCAAGGGTTCTCGCGTTCCCTGCAGTTCTTGTCGGTGCCCCGTTACAAGAGGAAGACGAATCACGAAACCCACAGCACGCCATTGGTTATCCCTCGTGACGAGTCGCACCTACTCTCGGTCGGCGGAACGCCCCCCCCGCCAAATGTATAGGTAATTTCCTTGGCCAGGAAGCTCAAAAGCTCTTCCTCCTTCTCCGGCCGAGACAATGGCGTTGACAGCGAACTGGTTGTTAGCGCGGAGGAGTTCGTGCGCTTTGTCGGCGGCGAGTACGAGGTAACCGAGGCCGCCCAAGGCCGACTTCGCAGAGTCCTGCAGCTCGCGGAGGAGAGGGAGGGGGTCACCCTGGAGGCTGCGTTCGGGGCCCTTGACAAGGTGTGGATTGTCTTTCGAACTTCAAGTGCTACGTCTCCGCCGATACCAACTCAGTAGAGTTGGCGCTCTTTCCGCGTTGCGTCTACCACTCACGTTTTCTCCAATATCTCAACCAACAACGCCTTTCAGCTTAGAGCAACCGGCGTGATAGGAAGCAATCTCATTAACACCGGTTTTTTCAGGAAACTTCCCCAACGTCTAGAGTCAGGTTCTACTGAAAATCCTTGCGAACTACGAGAATTATTATTTCTGTTATGTAACACCAAGACGTTTTCACTTGCTGTCTGTCTACTGTAACTGTTGCAAGCCTGCATGCGAAAGTGTGGTACTTTCAAGCTCAGAAAGATGCAACCAAGCATAACAAGGCACGCAGTTCGTCTGCTTACCATACCCCCCCACCCCCTCTTTTCCTCCTCGTCCATCTGGATGGAATACCTGGCGACCTCCTCAAATCAACGACAGAACGGTACAGGAAGCATTTCCACAGCGGATCTAGAAGAAGGTCTTCGGCAGTTGAAGGTGTTCGACGGAATGTCCAAGGAACAGGCGTCCCTGGCAACCAGGCGTTTCGACCAGAACGGGGACGGTGTCATTAGCCTCTCCGACTTCTTGGCCTTCGCCGGAAAGCCGTACTCTGCTAACGATCGGCCTCTGGAGGCCAAGCTTAGGAGAGTTCTGCTCAAGGCTGAATCGGTACGACGAGTCTTCGGTTCCAGGCAACGGTCTTGGTTGGCTGCATTGTTTGGCGAACGTGCCAATACATGACGGAGCTCTTTTCGAGAAGCTTTTCTTGGGGTATGATTGTGATATCAACGGCGTTAGGCTATTGTTGCTTCAAGCGGCCATGCCGCTAGGTCGAACATTTCTCAACAGTAAACGCCACGGTAACCGCGCATTTTTCACAACGCTGGCTTCAACTGTGCGTGATGTTCGGTTTCGTGAAGATGGGCGTATCTATGGAGGAGGCGTTCAAGCACTTCGACAAGGATGGCTGCGGCTCGATCACCGCACAGGGCTTCTCGACGGGTCTCCAGGAGATGGGCGTTTTCAAGGAATTTTCGAAGGAGGAGATTGTTGAGGTAAGACGCGAGCCTCTTGCTACTCCGTGGGACAGAGGTGCCTCGCCGCTAGCGCTGCCGGTACCCAACCGCCCCCTGTTCACTACCTCGGTGAAACACAACCACAGGTAGTTTCCAGCTTCGGCGGCGACGAGGACGGCGCCGTCAGTCTCCCAAAGTTCCTCCGATTCCTGGGAAAGGAGTACGGAAGAGGTGCCGATGGGAAGAGTGGAGGAGCATGGCCGGGAGCGGGGGGGGGGCGATCTTTGGCTGGGAGGCTACGATTGATCCTCAAGAAGGTTCGATAAAGAAGCGCCGCTTGTTTCCATTGCACTCTTGAACTGCTAGCCGGAGGATGTCGCGGTGGGAACTGCTGTCAGGAGCGAGTTCTGAATATAATTAGGACAGGACCTTGGTGCACCAAGCCCAGGCGTCGGTACGACTTTTTTTTTGCGATCTGATGATGGAAACGGCCGCAATCCTAAACCTTCGAGGCCCCTCAATTCAGAAACTTCAAGCGGCTAGCGCCCATGCGCATTCGGAGCCCTTGTCCAAAGAACACATTATTACCCGTGGTACGAGCTGAGCAGCTGCGCTCCTGTTAGTGTTGCGAGCAGTTTCATGCACATCAGTATCCCTCCATTATTCATCGGGTGGCGTTGATTCTGGGTTTACCAAGCTTCGTGCTCAAGACATGACGTTGGAATGGACCCTCAACCTATCGCGATTACTGCCGAGCAAAGCGGTCGAACAGAACTTCGATGCTCCCAACCTGTACCTTCGGGTAGACCAGTTTCGTCTCAGAAACTCCGGTCGTTCGCCGTCCTCGTATTTCTACCACAGGCAGTCTACAGTAGCCCGTCTCATCCGTAGATCCATCTCTGACCCAGCGCATTCCCCTCTTTTCGGGAGAAGAGGCAGCTTGCTTTATGAAATCCCGAACGCCTTGGGTTAGAAAGTCTAGGTATGGACTCCACAGACCATTGTCCAGGAAGCATAGCACACAAGGCCACACAGATGGCAGCATGGCTGACTGAGGGTTGAACTACTGTGGTGAAAACCGGGACGCTTACCCTTTGTTTCTCGGCGGTTGTGGCTACGCGACTTGTCTCAGGCTCACGAGCTCGGAACTCCTCTGTCGGCGTCTTTCGAAGGGTTTGGAGCGGACGGGAGCGGCCGCCTGTCCGTTCAGCAGCTTCACGCGGCGCTGAAAGATATCGGACAGTTTCGTTGGACGACTGTGAGTTCTTTCAATCTTGCTGTCGTCGGAGTGTAGAAAGATGGAGATAGATAGATAGATAGATGATAGAGAGAGAGAGTAGTGCCAAGTGGGAGGGCGGTTGTCAGCGATTCCAGTCTCATTCTCTACATATGATCCCTTTTCATGTAGGAGTCAAGATTTGGGGATACTACGTCGATGGCGAGTAACTAATGGTAGCTGGAACCCCCAACACAAATATATTCCTTGATCAGCATTCAAGTTTGAGCCACAATTAGCAGACGAGGACTCAAGTCGAACATGTACAGGGCGGGAAGGCCACAACACAGAGCCCCAAGGGTCGAAGCCTCGGCGTATGAAGACATCCAAATGAAAACCGCTTTGAACGTAGCCCCAAAGCTCGAGGGGACGGCAGTCCTACCGCAACCTCGCTTGTCGACGCTAGTCTTCAGATTGACCGGGGAGTTTGCTCATTCCTCTCCTCCCTTTCCGCTCTTTCTCGATTTGATAGCTGGGGGAGGTAAAAGGTTTCATTCGCCTATTGCAGGAAGACGAAGCCGAGGTCGACGCCGCTCGTCGTACCTCCTCTTCTGACAGTGAAGTGTTTCTGACCCTGCCGGCTTTAGAAGCGTTTGTCGAGGGTGGCGACGCCTTCCTCGCCCGGAAAGAAAGAGCCGCGCTGGCCCGGCGACAATCTCAGGAGGTGTTGTTGGCTAAGGAACACGCCGGTGCCGAAGCTGCTGCCGCAAGCCCCACTCAAGCCAGGTCGGGCGCGGCAAGCGCTTCTCGTACCCGAGCCAACTCGTGGTTCGCAGGAGAAAATACGACTGCCGCCGACGCCGATGGGAGCAGCGGCGCCTACGGCAAGGGAGCCGAGAACGAGCGGGAGTTGCTGGAACGCTTGAGGGTGGTTCTTGCTAGAGCTGCGGGGAAGGCGAGTCGAGACGGCGAGGACAGTGACGGCTGCGGAGGTGCGAGCCTGGACGATGACGGGGTGCGGGGGCATCTTGATTCGTTCGACGTCGACGGCGACGGGGTTCTGCGGCCGGAGGAGCTCGTGGCCTCTCTTCGTAGCCTCGGCGCTAGAGGCGGAGAGTTTCATGGACGGAAGGGGGTCAACGCCATCCTGTCCCTATTCCGCGACGGAACTGAGAGGCCCGCTGCAGGCGCACAAATCGGGGCGAGTGTCGTGAAGATAGCTTGGTGGTTTGCGGAACAGACCAGTTCAAAGACAGCATCGGCAGGTGCTGCTGCGGAGCATAGCGGTGGTGAGTCCCCCTCCAATGTCCGGTCGGGCATGCTGAGGGGCGAGCCCGGCGGCGACCGTGTGAGGGCGGAGACAAGCCGAGTCGGGGCCGGAGAAGCGCTCCGACGAGCCGTGGGGATCGCAGAAGCGAAGGGAACGACAATGGAAAGAACGTTCGCTCGCCTGGACGATGACGGGGACGGTTTCATAACGCTAAGGCAGCTGCTTCGGGGATTGGATCAGCTGGGCGTATTTAAGATGGTGACGCTTTTAGGATAGTGTTTTACTGGCAAAGACGTTTGGGGGGGGCACTTGCTATTTTCTGTTTGTATGACAAAGACTGGTGATGCATGGTCACCATTCATAGGTGTCTAGCGATCCAAGTCGAGGCACTGCGTAATAGCAAACGTGCCACGTCCTGTGGGTCATCAGCCACTGACCAACACGAAGAGACCAGCCAGAGTGCACTACCTCATAGCCTGCACGTGTCTGTATTTCCTCACCATGGCACACTCTGACCTGTACTGTCAAATTCTTCAGGCTTCTCGCGACGATGTTCTGGACGCGCTGGACGAACTAGATGCCGAGCGCCAGTCTAGTCCGCCTTCAAGTGGCCGGAAGGGAGGAGAATCGAAGCACGGCGGAGGGGACAGCGGCACTGGCGGGGTGGACTTGGTCGCATTTATCAGGCTCATGCGCCACCGGCCGCGTCAAGCCCTAGGTTCGTTCAATGAGCGAAGAGATCAGTCCGGAACCCTGCTCTTGATTCTAGCTACCCTTAGAAGCATTCCCGCACTCGCGAAAGGAAATGAGACAGCAGACCCTCTCCTTGCGACCGTTTCACTTTTTGAATGTAGTCTGCCAATAAGCATACCACATTTTGTCTATCGTCGTCGCCGCCGCATCGTCATGGCACGCTCAGAAGAAAGAAACGCAATTTCTAACGTCGACTTTGTCCTGAGTCCATCACGCTAGCCCTAGAGCTCAAAGAAGGCACAATGGTTGCCAACATGCTGACCTTGCCATCGCTTGGTTTCGCCCGAGCGATCAGCCATTGCAGACTCCAAAAGTTCGTAGGGACGAAGTCACTGGACTTATATTGCGTTCAAAAAGCACGCGTTGTACCTGACGTTTCACGTTCGAAAATAGTCCCCCAAACTCTATCGCCCCTGTGAACTTGTCATTGCAGGCGCGGAGGAGACCAGTGGTAGTGATATCGCCCAACAAGAAGAAAAATCGGCGGAGAATGAGCAGGAGGCAACGTACGAGTACTCACTAGATCCGGACACCAAAGCCGCAGAGAAGAAACTGCGCAGGGTGGTCGCAAAACAGGTGTGGGCTGGAACGGGGTCGATAAGTCAACAGGTTAGATTGCCTTGGCCTGCGCTCTTCTCGCTGGTAGCCAGGAGGGTCAATTGCCGATATTTGGGAGTCCCTTTCAATAACGGTTTGGCAGCCCGTTCACCCCGTTTGAGCGAACTCAACTCGCGTTTGTTCCCAACTCGTTACCATACAGGTCAGGCTCGGTGTAGACGTGGAAGGAGTATTCCGGCGTCACGATCCCGACCAATCTGGGTCCATTCTTCGGTCAGACTTCGTACAGGCTGTCATGGAGCTTGGCGTAGGGCTATTGGATAGCTCAAACTCACGGTGAAGTACTCGTGTTGCACAGCCGTAAGTCGGTGAAGTTTGGTGCAACATTAACAATGTCAACGCTTGTACAATGGAGTACCGTACGGCGAGAAAATTGGGCCTTGGATTGGGCTTAGAGGCTGGAATGCAATGTATTTTCGTCATCCTTCTTGTTTGTCGTATCCGCCTTCATCAGGCACGGAAACCGTCTGGCCGGCTCGACGAGCACAGCCGACCCGGTTCGAAGGAGACAGCTCGGACAGCTGGCGCGGGCGAAGGGTCCCGTAGAGCGAAGGCTCATGCGGATGCGCCAGACCAAGAGGGGGTTTCTCTGCGGGGGTCGGCAAACGGACAGGGGTGTTGGAGAAGCGAAGGGGGATGAGCACGCCGTCGATTCGTTTGAGGGGGGAGATGAGAGTCTAGCACTGATACAGTGGTGAGTTAACGGGTCGCGAACACGCCAGCTTTTCTGTGCTGAACGGAAGGACTTTGAGAGGCCTGAGAGGGTGGACTGCGAAATAATTCTGCGCGAGGAACTGAGCAATACGTTTCTTGTCTGGGCTACCCCTTCAGAGGGCGGCCATTGCTACTGGGGGCCAACGCATCATTGCTCAGCAAAATTCCGCGGTTCTACACAATAAAACGCTGAAGCACTTGCATTTTACTTCCCCTGACGAAGGGGTTAATCGAGAGGACATGGTCCAAGTACACGAAATCAAGATTGTCCACGTTTTCTCCCCCACTCTTCTCAGGTATCGTGAAGGGCAAAAAAAATCAATGGTGCGCCACATTCTTGCGACGTCTCTCACCACCGAGTACAATCTCTTCTTCGCGTTTGCCAGGTAAGGTAAACCTCTGCATTAACCCAGGACAATGCGTGCAGTAGTTAAACTGGTTTGCGCTAAGGAAGAACAGGATGACACAACATACCTCGTATGTTATCATGATGGGAGCTAGGGCAGGGAGAGTCGTTACTCCTCCGCTTCTGGGTGTGAAGTCCCGTTCCCACGGACGGAAGCGGATTGAGGCTTCTGCGACAGAAATATTTATTTCGATTCCCGTAAAGTTCCCGTTGTACACCCTGAATCCAACCGCCTCACCACGACTGTGCCTAAGCACACGCGTGGCCCGAAAGGAGCAGCATGATGTGCCAGGGGTTTCCCGGGTGTGCATTTTGTTCTCGACCCGGTCTACCTCAGCCACGACACCAATCAACAGTTCAACAGCATTGAAATCGTTTCTTCTCGAACGGCTGTTCGGCGCTCGTGTCTGTCGAATACAGCCCTCTGTTCTTCGAACACCCTCTTCGGAACCCGTTCAACCACGAGGAGCGGTTCAGAGTAGACCTGGATGATCATCAGCTCCGCGTGGTGACCGGCACGAGCGAATGGGCATACCTCCGAAGGTAGGCGTGGGAGTACGACCGACGTGTGGATTTCGAAATGCCACTGAGAAACTCTCGGGGCTCAAGCATCGTGCACGACCAATCAGGTCAAATCTGTGGCTTCCGCTGCGCCTTTCCCCACTTTCAGCTGGGAAAAATAACGAGAACCGAAATCTAGTCAAGTAGGATACCTCGCCGCGCTTTCCCAAACGTTTCGTACTGCTCTCCCCGTTTCGATCGGCCCGCACGACCGGCAGGCATGTGTCGCCTTGCGTGGGGGACCTCGGAGACAGTCCCGTCGAGACCGACTTCTTCGACGTTGACCCCCAACGAGGCGTCGAGATAACCCTCATGGCCCACGAGGTTGTCTTCATCCCGTTTGCCTTCCTGTGTCTCGAGCCCCGCGGTCTGACACCCGCGCCCTCCACACCCCCAAGGCCGAAACGGTCTTCGAGGGGAAGGGCGGGCGGCACGGACGAGGGCAGGGCAAGCAGGACATCGATGGAGGGGGGAGCAGGGACTGCCGAACGCTCTGTCGTGGTGGCGTTCGTTTCGACATCCCACGGGCACGTTGTTAGCGTTCTGCAGGTGGGAACATTCGCCAGTGACCCAGTGGTGAAGCGGCACACGTTGGTCTCCTTCCAGTGGGGAATGTCAGGATACTCCCGACGCTCTTCAGTGAAGAGGGAGTTCGTCAACACAAATCGAGTCACATCCCTCACGAAATCTAGGGTAATGCGCTTGGCAACAGCGCGGACATGCACATAAATTTGTCGACATCAACATCCCGGTGTAATTGAGAATGCATTGCATCGAAGGGGTCACACTGCAATCCGGTAACACGTCCGTGACGTTTCGACTGGTCTTGGCGACAATAGGTGCACCTACAGAGGAGGGAATTTGTCGTCAACAGGACATTCAGATTCTACCAAAGTGAGGGAGAGATTCTGAAAAGGTATGTCAAGGGCTCAACCCCACTTTTTTGTGGCGGCAATCGATTCGTGAGCCGGGGAGCTGGCGGGGGGTACGCGGCCGATGTACCACACTACCCGTTCTATTGTTCGACTGTGAAAGATTGGATGGGTTTCGCTCTCTGCCGCAAGCTACATTCAGTTTTCACTCGCCCCATGGCGCTATACGCACTTGGTCGTGACAACGTTGTTTTATGCCTCTACTGTATATTCTGTCTCGTAGACTTCCCGAAACTTCCGTGTGCATGGATATGCAGGTCCATCCAACTACTCCCGGGCGGGGCCCCCGAGCACCGTCTCTCCAAGCGCGGCAAGGGATCCCTCGGCGTGGGGAGGGTCTCGCGAGAACCCTACGGTGTGTCCGAAGATGGAGGCGCGAAATACATACACTGCGTGGAGGAGGCGGATCACCAACAAGGGGCTGATGACAAGGGCAGGGCTGGGGGTGGGGTGGTAATCGAGTGGGCTCGGCGGGCCGCTGCGATGGGAGGCGGTGCAGCGGGTGGTGACGATGTCCAGGAGGTGCTCGTGAAGTGCAGGGTCGGACAATTCCCTTCGCGAAAGGGCTTTTATTTACTTGTGAGTGCGACGGGAGGTGAAGTCGTTTTCAAGCTTTCTCTAGTTCCCTCATCGCGCACTCTTTGCGATGACCATTGCCGATCGCACGATACTTTACGGGGACTCGACTGCGTTGTGCAATGAACGGATCGTGTGCACCTATTGCTCTCTTCGCAGGTGTATGACGACCACTACCAGGGATCGCTGTATGAAACGTGGCATGTCATCGTACAGGCAAGGCTGCGGATGGATGTGCACTCCCTGCTTGGGCAGCAGAGCCCTGCCGACCTGATTGTACGGGGCGACCGTTACAGTCGAAAGGTCCGAGCATTCTCCTCTTGCCCAGCCGAGGTATCGTTCGAGCCGGCGAATGCCTTCCAACTCGTCCCTGGAGCATACAATCGGTGAGATTTGAGAGTCTGGCCGAAGAAACGCGCCGTTGTGGACGGTGGCTGGCAAGCGTGAGCGGGCACGGCACCTCCTTAGTCTGTGGATGTAAGCGCCTATTTTTTGGCCGAACACCCATTTTACGCCTACCGATTCGGTCGATGCAACTTCTCCACCTTTGAATCAAACGCTATGACGGTTATCCAAACCCATCGCCCCCGTCTCTGCGCCGTTCGTTAGGGTGGAATTACGCTTTCGTCCGCTCTCGACAGGCAGCCGAAAAATCCATGTCCACCTCGTCGATGTGGACTCAATGGAGATAGTCGGCGCCTGGCTCGCGACGGCCACCGCGATGCCTCCTGTGATCACCAAGTCGTACGACGTTGAGCTTCCACTTGGACGTGCTTGCCATAAACGCATAGCATACTCAAACCCTTGGAACACCACAAGGCTTTTCCGGCTTGCTTCTTCGGACCCAAGGATTCTCCGGCCGCGTTACGAGAGCCTGGAGGCAAGTTATTTCGGCACAAAATTTGTACGAAAACCACAGTAGTGTAGCGAAAGGAAGGCAAACGCGAATTGTACAATGTAGTCGCACTTCGCCCGAAGACGCGGAAAAAGTGTTAACTCGATGAAAGTCACGATTTCGACCGCTGAAAGCGTGATCGCGCCCAACGGCCGTGGCTATTCTAATTGCGCCCCCAACGAATAGCGTGTTGTCCGCTGACATATTATTCGGTGTCCACGCTGCAATGACCAGGTGGCGGGCGGTGGGACTGGTTTCCTCCGTTTGTGGTTCGCTGCCCCGGGGGGCACCAACGTCAGAAAAGAGGCTTTCCTCTTTGTAAACGATAGCGAGGGACAAAACGAGGAGTGTCTCCTGATCTGCATGCGAGGGGGGTGACCTGAAAAGCGTTCTTCGAAGTTCACCGTCGGCTTGGTGACTACCGTGAAATCTAGTTGCAGCATAAGTTTGCGACGGTGGTACTCTTCTGCGATTGGCAGCGTTTGTGGGCGTGCTATCGATCGATGAATAGTGGGTAGATCGAATTGGCAGTTGCCTCGGACATTCGACATGTGTCATGAGACCGGACTTCTCGGAGTTCACTCTTCAAGCGTGTAAAAGAAATGCACCCCGACAGTCAGAGGTTGGGTTGCATCTCTGTCTTCAGGTCGTGCATTACGGGAGCTTCCCGGCTGTGCGAGGGTGTATTGCGGCTGAATAAATGTAAATTTCCCGGCGTTTCTCCACAGGAGGTGTACCCGCCAGGAGACTCGTCAAGATCATCTTGCTGAACGGATCGTATCCCCACGTGCGGCAAGACTCCAACAATACAGATCCTACAGAATATAGACACGCCTGAATTCAGGGTCCTATCGCGCATTGCCAATAACCGGGCTAACGTCGGTTTCAAGGGCAACGAAAAACTCAAGGACCCCGCGCGAGACGACACCGCATGTACTCGGTACTGAAAAACCGAACAGTTTGGCCAGCAACTCGGAGCATGCGTTTCCAATGTGGAAACGTGCCAGGCCACAACGTAGGTCTCTCTAGCCGGTGCCGCCTTGCCAGGAACGAAAAAAAACGACCTCGAACTCCACTTGTCATAACCTTGACATGAGTCCGTGAGAGCCGTATTGGCAGTAGATCATACATACCGTAGCAATAACTCGTGGTCGTGACGTCTCACGGTTTGGTACCAACTAGGGAAACCTTGGCGTAGTTACTACTCCCACAACGTAAAGACAAGACACCCTACAACACAAGCCCCGCACCGCCGACGGAGTAAAGACTCTAATGGCGACTGTTCACTTCCTTTGCGCTGCCTAGACTTTGCTGTGTGCCAAAATACCATGAGAAAACATCAAAACGCATCATCTAGAATACTCTGAGAGACACTACACTGTAGGCCTAACACGTACCTTGAACGTGGGGCACATGGACCCGGACTCGGAACGGAGAGAAGCGCTGCCATATCTCAGACTCCGTTTACGCCAATACACGTGATGGTTCAAGCTCTTCCATTGTAACACCCACGAAATCATACTTGGAAGACTAAGCAAAGATACATGGTTCTCCACGCCAACGGGTTAACCTTTGCACCGCGCTTTGTTGAAACCTTTTTTACATTATTGGCGCTCTGTTTCTCTCGTTGCTGAGCTTAGTCGACGCGTTTCCGTGTGGGATGGGGGGGGGGAGCCAATGCGGCAGGCTTGTCCCTCGTGAGCAGGTGGCAAACTTCGCAACTCTTGTGGCCATGCGAGCAGCTCGTCGTGCAAGTGAACTCCGCGCGCCCGCCGTCCAACGCGCCGAACATGCCGCCTCCTCTCTGTGACAGCTCGGAAGCGGGGGAGGCATTACAGATTGCAGTTTTTACCATGATTCATGCCGAGCCATGGCGGCAGAAAGCAATGAAGGGACGATGGCTGCAACCCACATCACCTTGTTCTTCACCTTTTAGAACCAGGGTCTTCCCCCTCAAAGACTCAATAAAAAACACTTGCGAACTGGCACCAAAATGTCGCAGCAACACGTCCACCCCCAAAATTTCAACGGATGAAGCGATTTCACGCGCACGACAGCCGGTTGAATACCGAAGTACACTGCGAAGGCCAACGGAGGCCAGGAGGCGTCCAGCGACGTTCTGATACACCACGTAGAGACGGAAGACACCGCAGCAAGATCTGTGGCAGTCCCTTTCCGATCAATGCTGCACATTGTTCGGGCAGACGCCTCAAAACCTCGTCGCTACATGCCCATGAATGCCCAGCCCGTTGGTCGAAATCCTCGCCTCGTGTCTCGTATAAATGAAGCCCCGGTGTGACCACTACACTCACCTGTCGCCAACTCGGAGGCCTTTTCCCGCTGGGACTCCCCCAGTTCCCGACAAGACTCTTGGCAACTTCCACGACCAACGTTGCCGTGGAGACCCTGGTCACCTGACATAGACACGCGGGGGGGGTACGATCAGCTCAGTGACCTGGAGCGTAAGGGCAAATGCTACACACATCAATCGTGACCTGCGGTCCCAAGGCTTGCTTCCTAACGGTGGGGCCGTGGCGGTATGTTGGCCCTATGATGAATTGCCGAAGAAGTGGTCTTGAACGGGGGGAAATCCTCTATTCAGGAAGGAACCCTCGGCAGACACAGGTGCAACATACTGGTACCGGTGCAGCGCGCTCGACCTGCGTTTTGGTGCGCACGGGCTCCAATCTCTTGAACCGTTTCTTCGCCTTGTCGGATGTTGTTCACTCACCAGGTTCGCGATGGCGTGCATCGCCCACACGACAGAAACAACGATCAGTTTTCGGTGAAGTCCATGCGTTCTTTCCGCCGACTCCTCGTCCCAGCGGACCATGTCCCGGACGATGAGGGCATGCGTGGCCGTGTCAAACCCCTGTAAGGAGGCGACACCCCCAGACGATGTGGATCAGAGGGCCGATGTCCAAGCATAAACTTCGGCCCATCTACGGCAGCCGATACATAGCTGCACATGGTATTGATGTGGTCTGCATCGAAAGAGGTACACATGGTATCTCGACCGCTTTCACATGAACCGGAAGGGGCAGAGCGCTAGGTGTCGCTCTAGGGCAATCGGTACATGGGACACCACAACTGGGTAGAGTTGACCGCCAAGGTGACGCAAATATGTTCTTCGATTCGCCGATTTCCCGCATCAGTCTGTAGGGAACACTCTCTCAAAAAGCAGGACTTCGGATCTCGAAGGTCAGGTCGTGTATTGTCGGCGCAGGGGCCGGAGGAATGTTCTGGAACGCGCGCCTGTTCCCTACCTGGAGCGACATTCTCTTGAGACAGAGCAGCACGTCCTTGAAGGAGGACATATGCCAGTGGTCCATGAGCAACCGCATTATCCCCATCGTCGGCGACCACCGTCGCTGCGCGTCCAGTGAGATGAGAATGATCTTTCCCACGTGGTACAAGGAGCTTATCGCCACCATCTTCAGCGTGAGAGGAGAGGCGTAGGGAGATGCGATCAGCATGGACAGCACCTCCCGCGACCAGTAGGCCGCCAGCACGCCGGCGATAACCCAGTACAACCTTCGCCTCAGCTGCAGCAGCAAGCACGCCATGAGGCAACGAAGCAGCCACGCGACGCACGTGTGTGAGCAGGCCGAGCACGCAGGAATTGGTTTTAGGTCCAGGGCGGAGGGCCCATCGGTCTCACAGGTGGAAACATGTGACGTTATGTCGACTACAGATTTGCTTGCATCAACCGGAGGCCAAACAGACGTATCAGCAGCTCGCCACGCCCGGCAGCACAGGAGGCAATGCAAGCTGAGGACGATGACAAACAGCCGCTAATTCGCGGCACTGAACTTAGCAAAACCTTGAGAAACACAGGTCAGGTCGTGACATTGTCGTTCGCGCACGAGACTGACTTTCAATAAAAGAAAAGCAGCTGTGAGCTCAACTTCTTACCAGCCCAATGCCGTAGCTTCTGTCCAGCCTTTGGCACAGCGGGTTCAGCAAGATGTTGGCGTGCTGCAGCAACAGCCACACCTCGTGCGCGAACGTCGCCACCACCAACCAGGCCGGTCCAAACCGGCGCCCATCTCGCGGCCAGCCCCACGTGCCGCCATCGCTGCTGCCATCCTCCTCCCCGTTCCTGTCCTCCTGCTTTTTTTCTCCCTCCCCCTCGACACTGCTGTCGTATAAATCTGATTCCGCGTCAGCTTGGCTAACGGTGCCCCCTCGCTGGTCGTCAATCTGTCCGACCCCCCGTCCCACTTCGACACGAGCAGCCGGTGGTCCGGCGGGCCCTCCCCGTTCTTGTCGACCGGCATCCACGAAATCTTCCACTTGGTGCTGGGAAGGCCGAGGTTTGTCATCGTGGAGGCGATGAGGGGGAAATGTGCCCGTGAAGTTGGAGAAGGAAGTGGGAGAGGAGGATAGCAACAATACTGTTCGACTCGAGCATCGCAAGTTGTTTCCGGGTAGATATTCACGACGGAACTCGTGGTGATATTTACATGAAGTCGTGGTCTGTGCGAGGAGCACTAGCGATCACAAAGGCCCTATAACCCGGACGGTCTCAGCTGCACAAAATGTGGGGGGCGACGAGACCTCATATAACATATAACAGCACAGGGTCTGCGCCGAACTTGAAGTAGGAAGCGTCTAACCCCTCGCAACGAGGAGGCACCATTTTCTGGTTTGCAATACGTTGGAACCAGAGGTAGTTTCTCACGCAAGACAGACCGAGCCAGACATGGACCAGGGGGGAGGGAGACACACGCCACAGCCATAGCGAAACGGGAGCAGGGTGTGCCCTACACTACTGCTGCTAGCTATCGGCCGAAGAAGCGAGAGGAGACGAACGTTTGGTCGGGTCTGCGTTCACCGCTTGTTGCTTTTTTTGTTTGCAGCGGCTTTTCCATCTCGGCAGCGACCTTCGAGAGAGGCATCACACCAACATCACACTCGTTCCTAGACACCACCATTGACGATGCATGTACTGCTGTACTCCTCTCTACACTTCTTGTGTGCGGGAGGATATCGCCTCTACTCCTGCTGTTTGTTATAACTAGCGGTGGAGGAAGCGATAGGGGAGAAGAAAATTGTAGTTGGGTCTCGATTCAACCACGAATGTTTTTTTGTGCGGCTCTTTTTTTCATCGGCAGTGACCTTGGAGAGAGGCATTATCACCAACAGTAGCCTTCGAAGGTTTTTCGATCAAGTAAACACGTTGGATAAAGCATTCAATTGGGGAAGTTGGGTTAAGGCACGTGTGTGGTGGCCAAGGTTATCTCCTGTGTGACGTTTTTCTTCTGGCAAAACGGACGGGCGCACGGACTCGTTACCAGGTACCTTCAACAACCCAAACGACTACCTGCTATCTACACATTGCATACAAGTCAATCAAGTTGACCCAGTCTACGTTTTTTAGAAAACAAACGTTCTCTCACACAGAAAGACTACCCATTCGAGATATGAGCACAATAGTGGATTGGGATGTGTGGAAGTCTTTTCAGTGACCTCCAGTGAGGACACTGAGCTTTCTCGAGAGTTTTTTCCTGCGACAGCAGCAGTCGCACGTGATCCGTACCACTTGCCAACATCTTCGACCGGAGATCTTCAGCTACAGGGCCAGGCGCAGTCAGTACAAAGGAGCCGCGGCTTGAATCCCTATACAAGCAAGCGTAGCTTACAACACACGCACACACACACACACACACGCTGCGCCACACTAACAGCGGGTCGGACTCTGAAGAATGACACGCGAGCGTCGCTGGCGAAACATGGCTGCTGACTTTGTCCCAAGGACGCACGTTATGTTGCCGTGCGCGAGGATCACCCACTCACCGTCAGAGACTCAAGTTTGCTGGTTAACCTGTCGAGTTTATCGTTGAGACCAGCGAGGGCATCCGCCTGGGAGGATTCGCTGCTTGTGATCGCTGCTTCTGCGGCTGCTGTTGCTCTCGCCAGGCAGCAGACTACAAGGATCGCCACCTTGACATGACAACGAGGCCGCCACATGAACAGCGTCAGACCGCTGACTCTTTCACGAGGCATGGCGGCCCGATTACGCAAAGTGCTGGAAGCTTGACCTTCGTCTATGCGGCATTCCACGACTACGTGGGGTACAGCGACGGCCGGTTTCTTCTGTCGTTGTCTCTCTGCTTGTGCGCGTGTGCCTCTGCGTCGACTGTCCAGTAGCCGAGTGCAGTGGCAGAGGGCACGGGTCTGCCCATACCCCACTGCACTCTGTTAATTTCGCGCGGCCCCCCGCCTAACGAACATCCGAACATGAACATGCAATACTGTAGCTCATGAAGGAGTAGTTGTGCTGTCGTTCGTGCTGGCAAAACACCGGTCCTGCAGCAGCCCACGTGTGGCGAACGCCCAACTGGAGCCTTTTTCTAGCCATGCCGCTCTGGTTCAGCGGCTTTCGTTAGCAGTAAGAAAATAACGACAGGTGTGACGCATGTTCTAACGTCACACGACGTCACACGCCGTCACACGACGCAGAGGAGCATGACATCATCGTTGTTGTCTGCCGAAGATATCGACAAGTTACAGCGCCGTTTCTCCACGCTCGAGGCAGATATTGACACGCTTTCCACGGCGCTATCCCAGCTGCCGGCTGCTCGCAGTAGTGGGGCTGGATCAGCTCGCCGCCTTCGCAGCCATGACAGACCTTTCGGCACGATTCAGGTCGCCGATGGCCTTCGCGGGCTGTTCGGTTCACCTCCGGCAAGGACAACGCACCCACCGCTGTTGGGACACCTCATGGTAGCCTTCGTCGCAGCTGCCGTGGCTCTGGTGTTGTGGCGGGTTCGGCTGCTGAAGGTGGGGAAACGAGCTCGAGATGCACATGTCGGAAAATTAGGCGTAGCATGTCAGAGCAGACCGAACTCGGCCATATTCAACCTCCAACTGTACTGCTGTACATTCTGGACGTGTACAAGCTGGTCTGACCAAGAAGCTAACGTTCGTTCTTTCATGTCCCACTCTGCTGTTTCAACGAATTTAGACTTCAAATTTGCTCGTATAAGACCACAGGGGATGCGCAGGTGCCGGAAATTTTCGGATCTGAGTTGATTTTAGGTATATAACTATCAATTGGCGGCATAGTTGGGATACTTCCGGTACTGAAATCAGCATTAAAAAAAGTTTCTCAGATCAAGCTGAAAATTGCTGTGCATGTACCTGGGAACATCGCGAGAGGAAAGATGGTAGTTTCAAGGCTCACGGCATCTTCCATCAGAAGTTATGGCCTATTAAAGAATCCGATACAACACACGAGATACCTGAGGCAACGTAAGGATCTCGCGATTCCCACGCTGTTTTGTTGAATTAGAAGCTGAAATTTCGACACGGCATCCCCATGAGCACAACAAACAAATAAGCCACTGCGCCATTTGACTTTTTTCTTTTTTTCTGCGACTTTTTGGCATAGCAAATATTCCCATGAATACTAATATCAGCCTAACTTACGAAATAAAAAAAAAATCCAAATAGCGCAGTGGCCTTTGTGTTTATAGTACTCATGCAGATGCCGTGTCAAAATTTCAGGTTTTAACTCGAAAAAACCGCGTGGGAAATCCGCTCCAACCTTCAAATTTGCGTCTTGGTCAGACCAGCTTGTAAGCACAGCAACTCGGGAGTTTTCGTCCATGATCCTACGCTACAGAGAGCTGTACAGCCGTGCGCACGCTATGCATGTGACTCTATCAGCGCTAGACGCCTGTGCATTATCGCTTTTTGGCTCCACACCACTGACGGTACAAATCGTGTTCCACTCTGCACGACAGCAGTGAGCGGTTCTGCTGTAGTCGACCACACAGATTTGCCTGGGATATCACCCCCCCTTTTGGACCGATTTTCAAAGCTCATATGCTCTGTAAACAGCAGTGACGGTGCCGAAAATGACGGGGTTGGAAACGTCTCGTCGAGAACTTTCTAAAAAACCTGGTATCGTTTGATTTGGGCATCATGTCCATCGTGGAGTAATCGAGCTCTGAAAATTGGTCCAGGGGGTGTGGTATCTTATGCAACACTGCGGCACCCGTCTACCGTAGAGTTGACTTTCTACTTTCACCTGCAAGAAAGCAACTCATTTCGTTGTCTGGGAGGCAAAAACATTCCAAGCACATCCTACATACTCTGTGCATTCAATGGTACCCAGACGTTACCGCACGTGTTCTTACGTTTTCATCCCGTGTAAGATGCTACGTTTCGTCTCATTTGTGGGCGAACGGAGGTTATTTTTATGGGATTGAAAACAGACTATTTCACGCTGGCTCTATTTTCATTGTAAAACCCAATAGTATTAGATAATAAAAGAAAAAAATAACTTCCCCGCCGTTGACATCCTGCGCATTCTATCGTTATCAGTAAAGACACAATGAAGGGGCGTCATGTGTGCTGGTACGCTCAGGTTTGCTACTGGAGCTGAAACATCGAAATATCGAACGTCGCATCAGTCCCTGAGAACAGTCAGTAGTCCGCGCCGGAACCCAACATTTTTCACAGCTATGTTCACCGCCGCGGACGGTAAACCCCTGAACGGCGGCGTCAGCAGTAGCTAGTGGCATCAGCTACGGAAGGAAACCCGCAGTTGCGGAGATTGGAGTCAGTGGTGGCGAGCACAAGCTGTACAAGACATTGGATGTCGGCCAAGTTTGGTGAAATTTCCGGAGATTGTAGGCCGCAACTACGGGCCTCGATATCACCACTCAATGAGCGGATGTGAGCGCGTCAATACCCCCCCCCCCGGTGTTTGCCATCGGGGTTTGGGTTTTCGTCGCTTGGCAACGACGTTGTAAAACAAGCCCCCCACTCGGTGTTTGCCATCGGGATTGGGTTTTCGTCGCTTGGCAACGACGTTGTAAAACAAGCCAATTCACTTCGTGAACTCGGCAACCAGGTTATCGTTTTTTTTTTTTTTACCTCGGTTTTTTTTTTTGGCGGTAACCATAATGGTGGTCGAGTAGATCATGTTGTGCGGGGTCGAGAAACCTCACTCCGCGCAACGGGGGATGATCGCACCACGTTGTGTTAAAATGGTCAAGCTTCCTCGAGGCAGTTACACAGTGCTTACAACTGTCTCTGGAAGTGAAAGCACCAGAAAATAAATTAAGTCATACGTAGCTGTCATCCGTACGCAAGGAAGTAAGCACAAGATGCCGAACACCCTTAGCAGGATGCAGCTCACCCTTCATGCGACTCGCCAAATACCTCACGGCGCTTCGCGCTTGGTGATGTGAGAGCCTGGTCCGGTGGGAACCCGGCGTGCTCCGTCCCGGCTTTGTAGGGATGCGAGGTCAATGGTCAAACGACTACGGCATGCACGACTATGATTACCCCCCCCCCCCCCCCCCCCCCCCCGAATATGATCAGTCTAGAGAGGCCA